CAGGTATTGCAGCGGCAGCAAATTTGCCTTGCCCCATCCGAGATTACCGCGCACACGTTCTGGGTCAAGCCGAGGTTGAAAATGACTTCACAACTGCTAGTCCTGCCTTGATCACATCGGCGCCCAAAATGTGTGCGTCGGTGGACATTACGTGCAGCTACAAATATTTGAGGCTGGTTCCATCCAACTTTACGGCAGAAATTGCCAACGCCTTCCAACGGTTAAAGTGCACCTGAAAGTATATATATGTATATATATAATTTTTAATAAACATATTTTTCTGAGATTTTGTTTAAATTACGGCCGTACACCGGGCATGGAAATAAACTCGAGCACATCAGACACATTGGCTCGCAGGACAACCCCCCTAAAGTGAAAATCTGAGCTATTAACTTTCTCTAAGCTTCTAGGAGCTGTCGAGAGACTGAAATATATGCGCAACAGCTTCGTTATGTTTTTGATTTGCTCCTTGTAGCAAGATTCTAAACTTGGTGGCGGCGGGGAGCTGTCTATTGCGAGGAGCTGTTGCTCCCAAGTGTTTTGCTCATTTGCCGTTGCATACATATTTTCCAAAGTTTTGTCCACGTTGCGGTATTTCCTGGCCATTTTTTCCCGCAAGTGGACCTTGTCCCAAGGGAGCGGGAAATAATTGGCCAGGTATTGCAGCGGCAGCAAATTTGCCTTGCCCCTATCCGAGATTACCGCGCACACGTTCTGGGTCAAGCCGAGGTTGAAAAATGACTTCACAACTGCTAGTCCTGCCTTGATCACATCGGCGCCCAAAATGTGTGCGTCGGTGGACATTACGTGCAGCTACATATATTTGAGGCTGGTTCCATCCAACTTTACGGCAGAAATTGCCAACGCCTTCCAACGGTTAAAGTGCACCTGAAAGTTATATATGTATATAATTTTTAATAAACATATTTTTCTGAGATTTTGTTTAAATTACGGCCGTACACCGGGCATGGAAATAAACTCGAGCACATCAGACACATTGGCTCGCAGGACAACCCCCCTAAAGTGAAAATCTGAGCTATTAACTTGCTATAAACTTCTGGGGGCTGTCGAGAGACTGAAATATATGCGCAACAGCTTCGTTATGTTTTTGATTTGCTCCTTGTAGCAAGATTCTAAACTTGGTGGCGGCGGGGAGCTGTCTATTGCGAGGAGCTGTTGCTCCCAAGTGTTTTGCTCATATGCCTTTGCATACATATTTTCCAAAGTTTTGTCCACGTTGCGGTATTTCCTGGCCATTTTTTCCCGCAAGTGGACCTTGTCCCAAGGGAGCGGGAAATAATTGGCCAGGTATTGCAGCGGCAGCAAATTTGCATTGCCCCTATTCGAGATTACCGCGCACACGTTCTGGGCCAAGCCGAGGTTGAAAAATAACTTCACAACAACTGCTAGTCCTACCTTGATCACATCGGCGCCCAGAATGTGTGCGTCGGTGGACATTACGTGCAGGTACAAATATTTGAGGCTTGTTTCATCCAACTTTACGGCAGAAATTGCCAACGCCTTCCAACGGTTAAAGTGCACCTGAAAGTATATATATGTATATAATTTTTAATAAACATATTTTTCTGAGATTTTGTTTAAATTACGGCCGTACACCGGGCATGGAAATAAACTCGAGCACATCAGACACATTGGCTCGCAAGACAACCCCCCTAAAGTCAAAATTTGAGCTATTAACTTTCTCTAAACTTCTAGGGGCTGTCGAGAGACTGAAATATATGCGCAACAGCTTCGTTATGTTTTTGATTTGCTCCTTGTAGCAAGATTCTAAACTTGGTGGCGGCGGGGCGTTGTCTATTGTGAGGAGCTGTTGCTCCCAAGTGTTTTGCTCATATGCCTTTGCATACATATTTTCCAAAGTTTTGTCCACGTTGCGGTATTTCCTGGCCATTTTTTCCCGCAAGTGGACCTTGTCCCAAGGGAGCGGGAAATAATTAGCCAGGTATTGCAGCGGCAGCAAATTTGCCTTGCCCCTATCCGAGATTACCGCGCACACGTTCTGGGTCAGCCGAGGTTGAAAAATGACTTCACAACAACTGCTAGTCCTGCGCGCCCAAAATGTGTGCGTCGGTGGACATTACGTGCAGCTACAAATATTTGAGGCTGGTTCCATCCAACTTTACGGCAGAAATTGCCAACGCCTTCCAACGGTTAAAGTGCACCTGAAAGTATATATATGTATATATATAATTTTTAATAAACATATTTTTCTGAGATTTTGTTTAAATTACGGCCGTACACCGGGCATGGAAATAAACTCGAGCACATCAGACACATTGGCTCGCAGGACAACCCCCCTAAAGTGAAAATCTGAGCTATTAACTTGCTATAAACTTCTGGGGGCTGTCGAGAGACTGAAATATATGCGCAACAGCTTCGTTATGTTTTTGATTTGCTCCTTGTAGCAAGATTCTAAACTTGGTGGCGGCGGGGAGCTGTCTATTGCGAGGAGCTGTTGCTCCCAAGTGTTTTGCTCATTTGCCGTTGCATACATATTTTCCAAAGTTTTGTCCACGTTGCGGTATTTCCTGGCCATTTTTTCCCGCAAGTGGACCTTGTCCCAAGGGAGCGGGAAATAATTGGCCAGGTATTGCAGCGGCAGCAAATTTGCCTTGCCCCTATCCGAGATTACCGCGCACACGTTCTGGGTCAAGCCGAGGTTGAAAAATGACTTCACAACTGCTAGTCCTGCCTTGATCACATCGGCGCCCAAAATGTGTGCGTCGGTGGACATTACGTGCAGCTACAAATATTTGAGGCTGGTTCCATCCAACTTTACGGCAGAAATTGCCAACGCCTTCCAACGGTTAAAGGGCACCTAAAGTATATATATATATATAATTTTTAATAAACATATTTTTCTGAGATTTTGTTTAAATTATGGCCGTACACCGGGCATGGAAATAAACTCAGCACATCAGACACATTGGCTCGCAGACAACCCCCTAAAGTCAAAATCTGAGCTATTAACTGCTCTAAACTTCTGGGGGCTGTCGAGAGACTGTATATGCGCAACAGCTTCGTTATGTTTTTGATTTGCTCCTCCGGCGCCTAAAATGTGTGCGTCGGTGGACATTACGTGCAGCTACAAATATTTGAGGCTGGTTCCATCCAACTTTACGGCAGAAATTGCCAACGCCTTCCAACGGTTAAAGTGCACCTGAAAGTATATATATGTATATAATTTTTAATAAACATATTTTTCTGAGATTTTGTTTAAATTACGGCCGTACACCGGGCATGGAAATAAACTCGAGCACATCAGACACATTGGCTCGCAGGACAACCCCCCTAAAGTTAAAATCTGACCTATTAACTTTCTCTAAACTTCTAGGGGCTGTCGAGAGACTGAAATATATGCGCAACAGCTTCGTTATGTTTTTGAGTTGCTCCTTGTAGCAAGATTCTAAACTTGGTGGCGGCGGGGAGCTGTCTATTGCGAGGAGCTGTTGCTCCCAAGTGTTTTGCTCATATGCCTTTGCATACATATTTTCCAAAGTTTTGTCCACGTTGCGGTATTTCCTGGCCATTTTTTCCCGCAAGTGGACCTTGTCCCAAGGGAGCGGGAAATAATTAGCCAGGTATTGCAGCGGCAGCAAATTTGCCTTGCCCCTATCCGAGATTACCGCGCACACGTTCTGGGTCAAGCCGAGGTTGAAAAATGACTTCACAACAACTGCTAGTCCTGCGCGCCCAAAATGTGTGCGTCGGTGGACATTACGTGCAGCTACAAATATTTGAGGCTGGTTCCATCCAACTTTACGGCAGAAATTGCCAACGCCTTCCAACGGTTAAAGTGCACCTGAAAGTATATATATGTATATAATTTTTAATAAACATATTTTTCTGAGATTTTGTTTAAATTACGGCCGTACACCGGGCATGGAAATAAACTCGAGCACATCAGACACATTGGCTCGCAAGACAACCCCCCTAAAGTCAAAATTTGATCTATTAACTTTCTCTAAACTTCTAGGGGCTGTCGAGAGACTGAAATATATGCGCAACAGCTTCGTTATGTTTTTGATTTGCTCCTTGTAGCAAGATTCTAAACTTGGTGGCGGCGGGGCGTTGTCTATTGTGAGGAGCTGTTGCTCCCAAGTGTTTTGCTCATATGCCTTTGCATACATATTTTCCAAAGTTTTGTCCACGTTGCGGTATTTCCTGGCCATTTTTTCCCGCAAGTGAACCTTGTCCCAAGGGAGCGGAATATAATTGGCCAGGTATTGCAGCGGCAGCAAATTTGCCTTGCCCCTATCCGAGATTACCGCACACGCGTTCTGGGCCACAACAACTGCTAGTCCTGCTTTGATCACATCGGCGCCCAGAATGTGTGCGTCGGTGGACATTACGTGCAGGTACAAATATTTGAGGCTTATTTCATCCAACTTTACGGCAGCAATTGCCAACGCCTTCCAACGGTTAAAGTGCACCTGAAAGTATATATATATATATAATTTTTAAGAAACATATTTTTCTGAGATTTTGTTTAAATTACGGCCGTACACCGGGCATGAGTCAATAAGATTTAACTATACGTCCAGGAGTAATTGTTACCTAAAAACAGCTGTACGATCAAAATAACGATATAATATGAGAGAATGAGTAGCGTGGTCTCGTGCTAGAGGAGGTGGTGCCTGCCACAGATTTTCGTCCTTTGTGGCGGCGGAAGGGGGCGGGGCGAAATTTTAAAATACACTCGGGGCAGTGCAATATCACATAAGTCTGGAAATTTGGTTGCTCTAGCTCGTATAGTCACTGAGATCTAGGCGCTCATCAAGACGGACAGACGGACATGGCTATATCGACTCGGCTATTGATACTAATCAAGAAGATAATATAATAAAGCTTACGTTGGGAAATGGTATTCGTCGAAAATCAGGAGAAATGGCTGATCCTTAAAATAAGAGCAATTTGGACACCATATTGATGATCCCGCAGTCTAATTCCATTATGTGGGACTCCCGCTACACGTATTTGATGGCCTTGAGCACGTCGTCTTTCGAGTATGAAATATTTGGCGACGATCGCGATTGCTGCAATTGCTCAGACATAGGTCTCTTCTCGATCGTATCCGATGCCTATCAGACTATTTTGAAATAAAGCTAGCCGTTTCTCACAAATTTCAGCGATTTCAGCAGAAAAGTCTGAACCCACAGCTGATCTATTCATCTGCTGTGGCTCTGACGCCGGCTGTGGCTGTGGCTGCGACGCTGGTTGATTCTCAAGAGCCTTTTCACTGCAGTTTTGAGTGCTGCTTATTTCTGGCACCTACAAGAAGAATTTTATACACTAATTGACCCAACTGATTGGCATTGATATTGACTTACAAAGGGAAATGGACTCGAGGAGCTCCGAGTTAGATTAGCTGCATCATCAAAGTCCTGCAAGAGTTGACGACGTCCGCAGCTCTGCGAGCGTCTGTGAATAGCATGGCGACGCAGCCAGGAACATGGCGCCTGTGCCACTACGGTGGGCAAGGGCGAATGTCTTGAGCGCGGCTGCAGATTCTCATGCGGTGCCAAGTTTGGAGGCGACTGTGGCACGTCTGAGACAGGGGGCTCGACCGCTGCTGGAATATTCGCATTGGCATTACCCAATTCTTGTAAAGGCTTCAATTTGTTCTCCTGAGTACCTTTTTGAGGCTTCTTTATAAGCGGAACATCGAAGTCCAGGTCAAAGGATAAGTTCCCAAAGACGAGTCCATTCTTGGGCTTCTGGGCTTCCGCTGCCTTGCGCTGCAAGAATGCGGCAAGCTTCTGCGAGTTTGTAATGGGCTCGCTTAAAATATCGTCCAACTCAAGCGCTGTGGATTGTGGAAGCTCAAGCGTTGTGGAAGCTGGGACTGGCGGCGCAGCGCCCCAAGAAGCGTGGATTTAAAGAGCTCCTAGAAAAGGTATGAAGACCGACTTACACTGATATGTAAATATTATAAAAATCACGAGATATAATTGCAGCGAAAATTGCCGGTAGATGGGTGGCCTGATGAGCATATTGAAGAGCTGGTGCATCAAATAGCGTCATTGGATAGCAACAATTTTCCGCACAAAGTGGGATTGGGCGAGCGGGAGGCGCGCATCGCTTGTCGTAAGTAACGGCTCAGTTGGGTGGCATCCAACAGAGTATTTAATCATGTTGTAACTTGTCCCACGCAGGACTTGTGTCCCGACGTCACTACAACTTTGGGCATGGCATAGGACGCTCTGGCGATCTGCTGGAGCCGCAGCCCAAGGCAGCTGGCTCCACTCTGCTCGCACACCTCACGAATGCTCTGATCTTGGATCTAATGCAGGGGCTAGGCCTGCCCAGCTGCAGAGGCTGTTTTCTGGTGCCGATGTGCACCGGCATGACCATCACACTGTGTCTGCAGAGTCTACGCAAGCAACGTCCACTCGCCAAATATGTCCTCTGGTCACGCATCGACCAAAAGTCCTGCTTTAAAGCTATTACGGCCGCAGGTCTGGAACCCGTGATAGTCCCCTGCCTGGTGCAGCATCAAGCTCTGAGCACCGACGTGAATGCTTTCGAACAAAAGATCGAGGCTCTGGGTGCAGAAACCATCCTATGTCTGTACACGACCACCAGCTGCTTCGCCCCACGAAACAGCGACAGCATCGTTGAGATTGCCCAGCTGGCCAAGCCCTGCGACCTGCCTCATCTCGTGAACAATGCGTATGGGCTGCAGATCGGTGCCATCTCACGGCAGTTGGAGCGGGCCCATCGATTGGGCCGCATCGACTACTTTGTGCAGAGCACAGACAAGAATTTCCTGGTACCTGTGGGTGGTGCCATTGTGGCCAGTTTCGACCAGAGCCTCTTGTGCCTGGTGGGCAGTAGCTATGCGGGTCGAGCCAGTGGTTCCCAAGCGCTGGATGTCTTCATGACGCTGCTGTCACTGGGACGGACCGGCTACCACTCGATGATCCAGAAGCGGGAGGATAACTTTACTTATCTCAAGGAACAGCTCATAGAATTCGCACAAGGCCATGGCGAACAGGTTATTGAGAGCAGGGATAACTTTATATCGTTATATCGTGGTCCCTGGTCAAAGCAAAACTATAGATGGTCATGCATTCTCAGGTCAGTTCAAAAATACTTTCAGTTAACAAATCTTTTCTATTCGTTGGAGTCGTTCTATTCAGATTTTGGTTCCCACCAGTCGAATCTGGAACTGCCCTATCTTACCGTGGCGGCTGCCCTGGGCATCACTCGAGAGGAGATTGATAAGTTCTTTAAGATCTTTCACAAATGCTGGACGAAATTGAACCAGTCGCTCTGCGAAAATAAATCAAAAAAATAATCAAGATTATTTTATTTTTGATTTTATTTACTAGCTAACCCGGCAAACCATTTGCCGCAGTACTGTAATCTATTTCTGTTGCTCCGCCAGAAGTCATTTGGCGTAGTCTGCCATTTTCTCTGTGAGTTGTAATTACGAACCGGCGTGCTTGTAGAACATGTAAAATGTGTGCCTTCGACCGATCCTTTGGATATTTAATGAAACGTATTTGAAAATATTTGAGACTGAAACTTGCCTAGATTTTATATCCAAGGGTATTAATGTATTAATTATTGAAATATATCACAACTCAAACAAGCCATAATGCAAACAGTAATGGCTCAGGAGGCCGCACAGAAGCAGTCTGTGGAGCAGGTGGAACCGCACTGGCGTGAACAGATACAGATTCCGCGCGAAAGGCATGAGGCGATGCGAACCGCCCAACAACGGTATCAGACAGTCATACCCACGATATTATCATCGCCTCCATGATAACTGGAGGTTACTTCGTACTGAATAATCCAAGAAAAATGTTGTCAAAAAAAATGTCAAATAGTCATTCGGAATGTCGGAATGTGAAGAGCCAGTATATTTGGTTTCCTGTATATAAAACAATTGGGGTAGTAATCGTACATGCTTTTAACGACTTACTTACGATGGCCAGTGCTCGGTAGAGCTCCTCAGCCCGTGGACTCAAGCGAGCAGTGGACGACTCGGCCGTTTGGTTCTGCTGCAGCAGCGTGTCCATCAGATCCAGCTCTGCTGTGGTCCCACTGTGGCCTCCAGGTTGGACTGCAGGGCATTGTAGCGAGCAGTCATTTTTTCCAGTTCGTGGTTTTTTGTTCAGCTGATCTGTGCTCGTGTGACTTGGATTCCAGCATGATTTTTAGTTTTTGAATTTCGTTGGCATGCCGATGGTGGTGGTGGTCCTCCTCTGCTGTTGGCTGTGTGTAGCCTTGCTAATGATGGTGGTGCGGCTGTTTGGGCATCAAACCCGACTGGAAATTCGTAGTCGAGTCGATTGTACTTTCGTCATCATCTAGATCATCGAAGGCATTCTCCAGCAAGTTGCCCAGCTAAAGCACAGTGTTATCAGATATGTGTGCTTGTGCGCATATTGCACTAACTTTAACTCACCTCCTCGTCGCGTCGTTTCTGATCCTCTAGAGCTTCTTCTTCTTCTTGGCGCTCCAATGTCGAACTCACGTTCAAGGGCTCGGCCCCCTGAAAAAGGCTCATGCCCGGCGTATTCATGTTCAATTTATTTGGCTCCTGATGCTATTAGTTTTTTCAAAATTTTGAAGGCACAGGCGCTGCCTTTTTTGTTTTTGTAGCGCCAGCCTGCTGCTTCTTATATATTTTTGATATTTATCGATATATCGTTATATTTAGTTCACTTCTCTAGGTCAAACACCTTGCAACTTTCTTAGAGATGCGCCATTTGTATCTCATAAACTAACTCCTTGCGCATACACACCTTGTAATAGGCTGTTTACATTGGAGCTGCGTCATGCTTCTTTGCGTCTTGCCGGAGACGCAGTTTTTTTTACATAGGTTAAGCATAGGGCCCTAGTGGTGGCAAAAAGTTGCGTCAGTTTCTGATTCATGTGCGTCTATTCGATATATTCGATTGCTTTTGCTCATTTTTGGGATTTTCTGCCTATCAGCGCAACTATCACCACTAATAACAACAAAAAATTGTAGATCAAAAATCAAATTTTGGCGCTAAAAATGTATGATTGTGCGAAAAGGTGAAAATATACATAAAGTCATTAAATAAAATACTTGAAACTGATTGTATTATTATCATATGAAATTTTTCTGACCACCTGATGCCATTAAGACACTGCTGGAGACGAACTTCGGTGGTTTTCATAATTTGAAGAAGAACTCCCACAAACTCTACAATGAAATGTCTGAAAATAATATTTAAATATGAGAATCAATTCTTTTTCGTCCATTTTCCTGACGTCTTGCTTAATTCTGTTGATTTTCAAAAATTTGTGTATCTTTCCTTGTCATCAAACACCCAAATCCAAATTCAAGACGCACGTCTTCCAATGTAAACGCCTTTTCTGCTTCATTGCGTCTATGCCGATATCGATAGCAGACGCGCCCAGTGTAAAAAGGCTATTACATTCATGTAGAAATGCCACTCAGAGTTGTGTCCGAACTCTTATCGAATACCAATTTAAATCGTTTGAGATAATAAAAAATTAAAAAAGAACTTGGCGGTAAATTCAAAAAGGAAAATATTGTAATTTGTTGATACTCCCTTTGTTTCCATACATTTAAGAATTTTCAAGACCAACTCGTTTCCTTTTTTCAATTTTTTTCAGTTTTATTAATTTTATACAGACTGTCCATTCATAAACGCACTTATATTGGGACATTTATCTAATTTATCGGCATCTATTTGGAAAACCTTGGACAAACGTTTCCAACTTTGCGCATCAAAGTAGTAGAAGGTGCCGCGCTCTTTTGTACCATTTTTTTCATATTGATTAATGCCAGGAATTCGAGTTATCCAGATTTTCTCCTCCACATGATACCGCCACTCGCGACTATGCCTGAATAAAGAGAAACAAACCAACGATTAGCAAATATTGCGAATTAATTCAAAACGTAATTCTATACGTACAGTTCAGCAGCTGCCATCAATTGCATGATATCGCCGATATTTGTGTAGAAGAGGAAGAAGAGCAGATCCTCTTGCAGCTTTTTCAGTACCGGCGCCGTAAGCTTATCTCTTATCGCAAAATTGATCAGATATTCGGGTGGCACGTTGAACTCAACGTCTTGTGCTCTGAAAAAAAAAGAAAATTAAATGAATTAATATGCAAAACAAACTCCACTTTCTGATCACTCAGCCAATGTTTTTCGGCTAATCTATATAGGCAGTTGTGCCGCGACTGCATTACAGATAGATAGATAGATAAACATCAGAGTGATTTCAGCCAAGATTAATAATATTAATACTCATATGGTTTAAACAAATGATATTTCAAACATATGGCGATATTTGAATGGTTTCGCAGAAGTGATTTAGATCAGCCGTTTTACAGCCAATCAAACACTTTACACTTTACAATTTAAAATGATCATGGGAATGGGAATACCAACAATAAAGATAAATAATAAATGCATCAATTGACTCGACCCACCTGCAGGGCTGTTCCACGAACGGTCCAGCGAATGTTGTATGCAAGCTCTCTTGTGAATTCAGATTCAAGCCAAGGCCCGTCAGATCCGTGCCCAAAGAGAGCGTTACCAGGTTGGGATCTGTTTCGGCTGCCCGTATGAACGTCAGCAGGCCCACCATGCCGAACTGATTGTTCACCATGGTCGCTGGTATGTTTGTGACCTTGCCTGTGGTTGCGGGCGGCATAGATTAATGCTTCACGTAAGGTAATATTGAGTGGAGATACTCACCATCCGGCGAAGTTTGCACGCCGCTCTTCACAAGTTTATCATTGCTGGAATTATCGTTCAGATGGTCGCCGACACCACATCCACTGGCACCACCGCTGCTTCCGGTGCCACTGCCCAGGCCGCCGCCGACTCCCATCATGGCATTGCTACTGGTCACGCTGTTGACACCACTGCTGCCCACCAATCCCACGTGCGAGCTTCCGACGGAACCGAGGGCTGCACTGCCGCCACCGCCACCGCCTCCGACCACAACGCCGCCCAAGCCACTGCCGACAGCGCCAAGACCATTGCCGCCTACAACGCCGACGCTGGTGCCACTGGAGCCGCTGGATCCGCTGACCACAATTGAGTTCATTGCCTTTTCCGTGCCGTCCAGATGGTTCTCTGTTACTCCGCCCGTGGCGTTGCCGCCAGAGCCAACGCCAAGGCCCCCGCTGCCGCTGCTCCCAACTGCATTCGTTGTGCCATCCGAGTTTTGGGTGCCCGGTAACGCAGGGAAGTCCTCGTTGGACATCGTGAACTCCGATTGTTCTGACGTCGGCTGCTTCACCATGCCAACTGAAAGCGAATCGGAAGCAAATCGAACAGAAAGTGTGGATGAGTGAAGTGCCTTCAGCTGGGAGGGAAGGCGAATCAATTTGTTTATCTAATGGCTACGCTACCAACTACCATCTACCAGCACCGCTTCTCGAATAAGTGGACAGACAAATAGTTTAGCATAATTATGTGGGCCCAAAAACCGAAACCGATCAAGCCAGTAAGTAGTAGTTATGAGTAATGCAAACTGATCCGATCCGACCAGACAGCACACAAGACAGCACGCGGGACGACATACACACACACACACACACACACATTATTGCTTATCGCATGTCGCATATCGTAATCGTAATTGTAAACATTAAATAATACTAAAAAAAGAAGTGGATTTGATTTGAACTCACAAGAGGTAAAGAAATTACCATAGGGTTTGCTGCCCGGCGGCTGGAGCGGATTCGATTGGGGCAGTGTTTGGTCGTTCTGGCCGCGCGCATTCGTTAGCGACGGGAACTCCGTGGGATCGAGAAGGGCAGGTGTGGAGACATCAGCTCCACTGCCTCCAAACACGTGGAAGTTGTTCAATGGCCCCCCACCGCCACCCGTTCCGTAGCCGCCGCGACCCGTCTGCATGAAGTTTCCCATGTTCGACTGTGGGACGGGAATTGGAATGGAAAGAGAAGTCAGAATTTAGCTGTCCGCAGAGAGAATCCTCCTGCAGGAGGGGGCTTGGCTTACCATGGGTCCACTGCCTAGTCCCTGCATGGCACGCCGCTCCACGAACTGACGCTGTCCGAAAAGGTTCGCGTTCCGACTGCCGCTCGACAAGGCAGGCCCCCCCACCGATAGCTGGGCATTGCGGTTCGGCGATAGCTGAGGCTGCTGCTGTGGCTGTTGTTGCTGCGTCTGCCCATAATTCGCTGCACCTGGATAAGAGTTGGCAAAGTCTGAAGCATTGTGTTAAAACGAGATACTTCTTTGGAAATGCAGGCGTTAAACTTGCTTACCGGTTTGGAACATGCCAGACGTGGGTGTAACATGGCCGGTCAGGGAGCTACCACCGAAGCCGCCCGTTGTCCGTCCAGCTAACGCCGCGTTCGCTATGCTTCTTGGGGGTTGTTGGAAATTTAAATTCGCCATAATCTGCAAAGAAAGCCAAAGAATCGGTTAATTAGATGTTGGCAATTGTGTTGCCCAATCCCCCCCATGAATAGTGTTATCTAAATAGTACGATTGGGGGCGCTATCGCGATCGAGCCCCATATGCCGCATACGAAGCCTCAAAAACCAGAGTCCTCTCCTCTGCTGTATAAACAAAAGTTTGTTTATAGTGACTCACTTCGGCTTACAATTTGATAACACGCACTACCCACAGATAAACATTGCCCGCCACTGGATTTGCAAAATAAACAACCCAATTCCGTTGGCATCTTGACCAAAAAAAAGAGCTGAGCTCAACTCAATAATGAAGTTCTGTGCTTCTGAAAGCGAGTAAACAGAAGCTGCAGCTCGCTTCGCAGCACTGGTCGCTATAAGTTATAAGATTAAATGGCCGCCAGTCAGCTGTCAATGTGCAGAATAAAGCAGAAGGGCCCGGCACACATACGTACATATGTATATGGCACATAGAGGCTGGACTGGAGCAATTATTGGTGATTCTCTTTGGCTGGTGTGCCCATACATACATATGTATGTGTGTACTCGAACAATGGTGTAGGTGAAAAAACCAAACCAAAACCAGAATGCGCGGCGGCGGCAGGAAGCCTATAGGAAAGCCGAGGAGGAGATAAGTGAACTGTAAAAGGATACTCTAGTACTCTGAATACTCTGCGAAAAGGCATGCGATTCACACTCACACTCTCAGCACTCTTCTGCCTTTGTTTTGTTTGTGTTTGTGCGAGCGCACCATACCATTGTTCTGCAGGCCCAGCAGGTATGCGGCAGGCACCTGTCTGGTCCGAGTACTCAGAAATTACATGCCACTTATATTTGCTTTTTTGGAGGGGAATCCAAATCGTCTTTAAACTCTGATAATCGGGTACATTGGCAATGCCATATATTTTACCTGAGCATGTAACTTTATCAGCTGACCCGGCGGGAGCTTTTCAACACTACGCTACCAATGCTAACGGCGCTTACAACCAAAACCTCTGGACGCAAATAGCCTTGGAACAACGCGTCGGCAGGTTTGACCTCCACTTACCTAAATTAACGTTAGATGATAGTTCGCCTTCTTCCACTTCCACTGTTAATGCGTGCTCTCCACTCGCTTGCAATCGACTCGAACTGCTGCTACCAACAACAACATACACTGAACGGATCGTTCTCACCGCATTTAACATTCCAAGGCGACAAGGTGGACGTTGTTGCTGTCGTCGTCGTGGTCCTGGCGCCGTATCCGTTTCGGCGGCACAGGCTTACGTTTATTCCAATGGGCAGTCTGAGGTTAGCGCGCTCACTCAAACACACAGAGCGCGACGGGCGTCAAATATTCAAACGGGACACACAGGATATATGTATGCCCTTACACGCACACAAACACAGCCCGATGCTGATGATGATGCGCAAAGTGTAGTGGGTAGCGAGAGGAGAGGTTAGTTAGTATTTTTCCGCGCCGTGTCGTCCCTAAATATATTGCATATATATGTATGTCTATATGCTTCGTCTGTATGCAGCGTGGTCTTCGTCGTTCACGAAAGAAGGAGTACCGAAGGATGTTAATGCCTTTCTGAGGCAAAAAGTTTTTCAATTTTCTGCGCCGCTGTGGGGACCACAAATTTCACGTACAATGCTACACTTGGCAAACTTCGCACGAAACTCGATGTCTTGTCTGGCTACGCGTTTTAATGTAATTGTTTGCCTTGGTTTATGTATATTATTGTAGTGGTTTGGTTTGGTTTTATTTTGTAAGTAAATAATTGCTTGCTATTGCGCTGTTGTCTCTGCTTCTTCCCCTGCTCTGCTGCACAAGCACTCTATGTATGTGTGTGTCTGTCTTTGTTTTCTCAGTTCATTGAATTTCACCCGAGCTAGCGAATTGGGCAAAATTCGCTGCGTGATTTGCGTATTTTTTACGCCTCTCACAGTGTAATGCACTTCGCTTCGATGTGGCGAAACGTGTGTAATTTACTATTGATAGGCAATAAACAATTATTTAGCGCCCGAAATGGCTTTAAATTGTACACAAAAAATGTTCCGCAAAAAAACTTTTGTCACGAATACAAACACACAGGAATTAGGGATGTAAAATATGGTTATCGATGCAAATGCTATATCGATAGTTTCTTAGCGACTGCTGGGCTGGTTTACGAAGCTGCGCCTTGGATTTGCATCTCTCGAGAATTAATTAAAATAAATCTATAAAGACCTGTATTCTTTGCATTTTTACAAACTTAACAAACTTTCCCTTATTCATTGAGCATTTTCGTCGATGTCTGACCGTGACTAGACCTCCCAATTATTTGGACGTCGATGTTTTTTGTTTCTCAACACTTCAGTTGTAGTGCTGCAAAGATTCGGTTTTTGCGAAATTCTCAGACTAGCCCCGAAGGACTAAATATACCGTTTTGCAACTTTGTTGATTTGGTATTTATTTGTTACAATCTCAAGCAAAATTTTTGTATGGGCGCTATTTAGTATTTTTTTTGTTACAATCTCAAACAAAATGTTTTGAAAATCGTATGGGGCGCTATTTTAGTATTTTTTGGTTACAATTCCATACAATTTGTTTTGAAAATCTGGTATATTAAGGAACATTTATAATTAATTTATTTTTATAATAATTAATACATTTAAGGAACATTTATAATTAATTAATTTACATTTTTAGTTGTTAAAGTCCGAACTAGGTAGTATTATTAAACCGAACTTCAAATTGGAGCAATATTAACGTGTCCATCGGTATATTTACGGTATATTTTGATATTGACAAGGTATATTTCTGAGGGTGGTATATTTATTATTAATAAATCCGCGGTCACACTGATTCAAAGTGGCATAAAATACAAAATTTAATTAAAAACGAGAAGAATTATGGGCGACCAAACCGATGATGAAAGTGGTAAGTTCTAGTTACGCTTAGATCGTGCGGCAACTGTACCAAATGTTTTTTTCTTAGGCTCGTCCGGGTCGAGTCGCAGTGGCAGCCGTAGTCGCAGCGCCACTCCGCAAGGTAGCGCGCCCGGGTAGGTTTCTGATGCATTTTCACTGAATAAGGACGGAAAAATACATGTTCAACTGCTTTTTAGATCGCCACAAAGTCGTAAATCTGGCAGCGGCAGTCCCCGTTCACGTTCCGGCTCGCGATCATCCCGATCAGGCTCTGACTCTCCCCGAAGTGCCCGGTCGGGGTCGGCACATAGTCGCCGTTCCGGATCCAGGCAAAGTCATCGTTCTGGCTCAGCCCAGAGCAAAGGAGCTGGCTCTGTCCACAGTAAGCGCTCCGGGTCTGACCACAGCAAACGATCTGGCTCCGCCCACAGCAAGCGCTCTGGTTCTGCCCACAGCAAGCGCTCTGGTTCTCCCCAGAGCGCCAGATCCCGCAGTCGCTCCCGTAGCGCCACACCGAAGGGTAGTGGAAATGAGGAATCGCGCTCGAATTCTCCAAATCTGCAAATTGACGATGAACGCGCCAACTCTAAGAGCAAGAGCCGCAGCCGCAGCGGCAGTCGCACCTCCAGGTCCCGCTCCAAAACGGGTTCGCCACGTTCCAAGTCGGGAACTCCCTCGCGTAGCCGGAGTCGTAGCGGCTCTGGCTCCGGCAGCGACATTGCTGCGCCCAAAAAGATGACGCGTCGGGCCAGTGGCTCGGAAAATGAGAAACGCAAGAGCGGAAGCGACAGCGACATGGAAACCTCGCCTACAAAGGCCAAGAAGTCGCGTTTGATTGACTCGGATAGCGAAAGCGACAAAGAGGAGGTAATTCCATCCCACCCAAGGATTGTGAAACTTTTTTAACGTTTAATGTCAACATTTACAGGTTAAGAAAGCTCCGGCCGCCGCGGACATCTTTGGCGATGCAGATGATATCAGCGATGACGAGGAGCCGCCGACCACAAGCAAATCGCCGCGTTCGAGAAGTCGCAGCGGGAGCAAGTCCCGATCCCGAAGTCGCTCTGTGAGCCGTTCTCGATCAAGGTCGAGGTCCCGGTCCCGTTCACGCGCCCGAACAGAGTCGCGCCCGCAAGCAGCGCCCAAGGAGTTGGAGCCGGAGCCATTGCCTGAAACCCTCATCAACGTGGAAATCCCTCGCATAGCGGCGGACCTCGGCAAGGAGCAGCACTTCATCAAGCTGCCCAACTTTTTGTCCGTGGTTACGCATCCGTTTGACCCGGAGACATACGAAGACGAGATTGACGAGGAGGAGACCATGGACGAGGAGGGTCGCCAGCGCATCAAGCTCAAGGTGAGCAACACCATTCGCTGGCGCGAGTTCATGAACAACAAGGGGGACATGGTCCGAGAGTCGAACGCCCGGTTCGTGCGATGGTCCGATGGGAGCATGTCCCTCCACCTGGGCAACGAGATCTTCGACGCCTACCGACAGCCGCTGCTGGGCGATCACAACCATCTCTTCATACGCCAGGGCACCGGTCTCCAGGGCCAGGCCGTGTTCCGCACCAAGCTGACATTCAGACCCCATTCGACGGAGTCGTTCACCCATAAGAAGATGACCATGTCGCTGGCGGACCGCTCGAGCAAGACCAGTGGCATCAAGATACTTACTCAGGTGGGCAAAGACCCCACGCAGGACCGCCCCAGCCAGCTCAAGGAGGAGGAGGCCAAGCTGCGCCAGGCCATGCGCAACCAGCACAAGGCACAGCCCAAGAAGAAGAAGGCTGGAGCGGGTGAGCCGCTCATCGGCGGTGGCACCTCCTCTTATCAGCACGATGATGGCAGCGACGACGAGAATGCCATCAGCCTGAGCGCCATTAAGAATCGATACAAGAAAGGATCCGCCGGCAGCGCCCAGCCCGAGCCCAAGGCTTCCACCATCTACTCCTCGGACGAAGATGAGGGCTCCGACTTCGAGGCGCGCCGCAGCAAGAAGGGGGACAAGGCCAAGGCCAGCAAGGCCCTCAGGGATTCGGACAGCGAGTCCGACGCAGACAGTGCCAAGAGCGCCAAAAGTGGCACCAGAGCAGGCAGCGCCAGCGGCAGCGATGACGGGGGAAGCCGCAAGAGCGGCTCCAGCAAATCTGGCAGCGGCAGTGGGAGTGGCAGCGGTTCGGGTAGCGGCTCAGGAAGCGACAATGAATGAATTATCGATAAGAGCTGTCCATTTCATTGATTTATGTAATAAAACTTTAAAAAGATTTAAAAGATTCTTGAAATTTTCTTATGGATACCACCACCACCGGTTGCCAAAAGGTGTTGAATGCGATATTTCCTTTATCAGCTACACATATGATATTGTACTCTAATCATTAAATACGATACACCTATCTATAATGAAAACGAGAAGGAACGTGTGAGTCGCTTCTGGGGACGCGACTCTACTAATACCCGTACTCAGTCAGTATATACATTTTTGAGCTTATGATTTTTAAGAATTTTAGAAAAAAAAAAAATTTTACATTTTACATTTTTTTGCTACATATGATATCTACATCTACATATACAATGTGTATTCTACATCTAACATGTATATTTTACATGTTCCAATTAGATGAACGCGGCAGAATGTGCGAGCGAGAAGGAAAATGAGATGCGTTGTCGGTGGCGGGAGGGGAAGCAACTGAAAATTAATTTCTTCATTCTGGCTATAATTATTATCCGATCTGATTCAGATTCGGCAATCTGGTAGATATGGGCATTTTCTACGATACTGCGTTTTTTAGTTTTATCGTATCTTTAAAACTGTGCCTGCCACAGATTTTCGTCCTTTGTGTGGGCGGAAGGGGGCGGGGCGAAATTTTGAAATACACTTGTAGCAGTGTGATATCACATGAGTCTGGAAACCAAATTTGGTTTCTCTAGCTCTTATAGTCTCTGAGATCCAGGCGCTCATCAAGACGGACGGAAGGACAGACGGACAGACAGACATGGCTATATCGACTCGGCTATTGATGCTGATCAAGAATATATGTATATACTTTATGGGGTCGGAAACGTTTCCTTCTCTGCGTTGCACACATCCACTTTTACAACAAATCTAATATACCCCTTAACTCTTTTTTGAGTACGGGTATAAAAAACCAGTCGACACGTTCTGATTCCGGGGCACAAGTGCCGCGACACTCATTTAATACCCGGCACTTAGATAATCCTCAGATTTACTTTAATTTTGCCATACATACAGTCATGGAAAAATAATAGAAACGGTAAACATACTTTGTATCCAGACTCCTGTGATATCACACTGTTAAAAGTTTAATCTAAAATTTTGCCTGTGGCTTTATTTTGGCTACAAATGATCTGCATTCTAGTAGATCTGGTATAATCAATCTACATTATTCTGAGTTTTCGGTTTGTTACGTATGACAGAACATAAGGCCATTATCTGATCTACACGAATCTAATATGTATACCCCTACACTCTTTGAGTACCGGGTATATATCCATTTGTACATATACAAAATCGGTTGAATTTTGGTTTGATTATTATGGTTGTGCACTTCTTATAATTTACCTATGTACAATACGATGAGAAAATCGGACGCACGCCCTTCAGCATCTGTAATATTTTGTTGGAAAGAGCACTGCAATTAAATGATATGATATATGATATGAGGCGATACAAGATCAACACTGCCCGTAAAAAAACACGAAACACTTTTTGTTGGTTTTCAAATATACGTATGTATATATTTCCATAAATTATTGCTTAAATATTTTGTTTATACAATTAGACTATACGCTTAAACCCAACGCATGTTCCAACTTCATTTTATTTTACTGTTGTTTCTATGTTAAATATCTACAACTGCATTTAGTCCATAAATATATATAAGTATCTTTTGTTTTCTGGTACATTCTCTCAATGTGGGACTCTACAAAGGTACGCGATCTACATATTCTGCATGGGGTCTACAAGGGATTTCTTTCTAGAAGAAAAAAACAAATATTCTATTCCGCTCTGTAAACAAATATTCGAATTAGGAAAATATCATAAACATTCTATGCTCTCTTGTGTGTGTGTGTGTGAAATATGATTGTGCGACAGTTGTCCATAATGTCTATATATAGTTAATAACATTATCTAAAGGCTAAGGTCAGCGTTTGCAAAAAACGATTGCTTGTTGCACCATTTTCATCCAAATATACAATTAGATCAGATCAGACTATTGTTGTTAGTTGTGCAACTGATCATAGGGCTCGTTCTAGTTATTATTCCATACGAATGTACTCTGTGTACACGTACTCTCTCGAAAGATTCGGTTACAACACTTGTATGTATTTTGCATTATATTGTTGTATGGTATCTAGTCGCTCTCGACGGATCATGCCACAGGAATTGGAACTGAGACTGGATTTAAATGTCCCTTGTACGTGGGTTGGCTTGATCCTGATTTTTGGCATTAAGTACATCCAAAAATGCTACGTAATGATGCAGTTACAAGTACTATATGTATATGTATGGTACACATATCTTGAAATGCTTAATTGCTTAAACAATTATTTGCTGGTTTAGTCGGTTGGCACTCTTTCTGCGATTTTTCATTTAAATAATACTCACAAAAAGCGAACAGAACAGCCAAAATCTAGGGACTCCGATACAAAAAATAGCTGACAGCTGACAAGTTCCACCCCCCACAGCTGGACAGCACACCCTGGAGTCCATTGTCCGTTATATGTTTAGGTATTGTGTGGAACCCATTTCGAAACAGCTTCTCCCTATCCTCTCCTCTCCTTTCCACGCTCTTGCTTTCGGTTTTTGTCAGCACCTTTTATCCGTCTGTTCCTCCGTCCCTCGAGGTCTCTTGCTGTCTCCCTCCTCCGCCGCCTGATAACACGCTCCAACAAAGAACTGTAAAAAGTGCCACCCCTCTCTCTCTCTCTCTTCTTTGCTTCTTGTAAAAATTGCACAAAATGCATTTTATAGCGATGGGACGAGCGCTTCTTCCATCAGCAGGCCTGCGAAAAAGGGGGCAAAAAACAAAAGAAACACAAGTTGAGATTACTTATTATTATAATACATGAATACATATGTATGTATGTACGACTGCAAGTCTAAGCGATGTACCAGACCGTGGCCGCTACACTGCACTGCTGCACTATGCACTTAGTACCCCACGGCCATGGGCGAGGCGGTGGCCAGCAGGTGGGGCAGATCTTATCATCACGGTGCCCAAAGTAAATGGATGTTAAGCATGAACGTGCCGCCACAGGGGGAGTGAAATATACGAGTATTAATTTAATTTGAACGAAATGGGGTGTGTGTTCCGTCCCAAAAAGGGGTCTGGGATTTGGGTTAAACTGCTCATTCCCACAGTAGTATATGTATGTAGTCTCAATGGTTTCTATAGAAACGCTCCTTTTTTTTTAGTCGAACATTTAACCTCCCAAAACCATTTATGTGTTTTGGTACTGTGATTCTTTGTGTTCCTTCTCAGCTTTAAGAGATACACACGAGTAATTGAAGGACATGACTCCAATTTCCTGCATTAAATAGATCGGGATCGGCTGGCTCTCTTACCCTGCAGCATAATTCGTTTTCTAAGACTGAACCTCAGGTTGAAATGTATGATATCATATGGGCTATGTAACAATCATGCCCGATCAATCTGTTCTAGTAATCAATTTATGTAGGTGCTAAATGGCCCTACTCTACTTCCATTGCTGCCTTCCATCGAATCACGACGTGATTCGCACATTAAGAGAGCGCATCAGAGCGCAGAATGTCAACAACAGAAAACTCATGACACATGGTTTAACAGATGAAGCACCTCAGGAAGGCTGGCAGATCAGATCAGATCCAGATACCTTCTGCGGTTACTTACATGCAGCGAGTGTATTGACGTCGCCTCGTAGCCGCCCTTGCCCTGCATTTGGGTTGAGATCGCGTTGAGGCGGTTCGCCGAGAGCTCCACGTCCGCGGAGCCAATGTGCCCGGTGTGCACAAAGTTCGTGGGATTCCCAATCATGGATCGGTCGATGCGCAGGCGTTGGTGGGGGCGGCGGGAGGGCGATCGCTGCTGCTGAAAACAGCACGAGAACCACTGCAGCCAAATCTCGCCGGTGCTGGCCATTTTGTGGGCTGCTCTTCTGCTGGACGGCGTCGTTTCAGTCTTGTGGTGGTTGCTAATGGTGAGGCTGCAGCTTCCAGCCAGGTTGACGTCTGTTGGCGTGGATTACGCACTGCCACGGCCACGACTGTAAAGATGGATGAATTAGATTTCAATTAGATTCGTTTTGTTTGCTCCAGAAAGGCAGCAGAGTACAGAATACAGGGTACGGAGGAGTCTGCAAACATGTGTAGGAGGAGGTTGTCTGCTCTACTTATTGCCCCACATTGTATGTGTGTTACCTTGCTTTTCTCTTCACACGCCGGGACCTACGAAGCATCTAAAGATCAACAGAACTTTCGTCGAACAGCAGAAGCAGAAACAGAACAATAAAATGAACAAAATGTAGCCCCGAGGTGTCGGTTGTTGGTTCTTGTCTGGGAAGGGAAGGGAAGCGAAGCCAAGAACAAGAACAAGAAACACACAACAATTAATTGGCACTTTTGTGTAATTAAGATTGAGAGAAAGACGCAAAAAAAGCACACAATCAAACAGACGAGCCGAACCGAACCGAACGACGAAAGAGCTAGAGGAGAATAAAACAAAAAGCCGCTGGACAAGACCAAGTCGAAGCTATCACTCACGATCTTCGCGGCTTGTTGATTGCCGCTTACTGCTGGCCCAACAACGGGTTCTGGGGAATATCTCTGTATATCTCTCCTTTGCTTGGCCTTCATTCCAGCTGGATCGCAGATCGCACCTCACTTGAATAAATACCATTCCATTGTACTATTGTACAGGGAAGAATCATCATTTTTTTTTATTTTTTATTGCAAAAATCAACTGTTTCGGAGGCAGCAGCTGGATCGGGAATCGATTGATTCAGATTCAGGGAATGCTGAAAAACATTTGTCTCTCTGGGATACATTTGTCATAATAATAGTAATACCCACCTGTGATTCATATATTATCATGCTTGGACGACTGTTGTTATGGCATATCCCTCCCTCCCTTCAACGAAGCCACCAACTTCCATCTTAAACTGAGACAGTTTTCATTGGATTATGATCAGTCTATGACAACGATTTTCCACGCTGTTTCCCGACATTGATCGGCTCGAACTGCTCTACTGCTTTCTACCTATGTACATAAATATGCGAGATCTTTTCCGTCTGCCTCTGCCCGCGTTTGGGGCAATTAAAGCTGCTCAAGCGGCTTTAATGCTCAGTGAAAACAAAATGAAAGTGGCAGGCAGAGTAAGACGGAGACTGGAGGAGTCGGCTTAAAATACATATTACACATACATACATACATATAGTATCTGCACTTTCCGACAGCGAGCGTTATCTGGCATCGCGCTGTGACGCGTGTCACAAAAAACAACCATAGAAACAACAACAACAACAACAAGAGCCATTGACTGACTTACGAGCGGCAAATGCGCTAAAGCGTTTCAATTTTCTGTGTCAAAAGGTTATTAAAGTGAGAAATGAGAATATACCCAGAGATCAGAGACAAACTTTCCCACATTGGCGGTCAAACTTTAGCAACAATAGCTTACAATAATATCATTAAGGAATGAAGAACTTGTCAGAAAACATGAAAATCATGAAACATTACCCTTAACCATTAACAGCCGAGTGAGTTTAAAATTATACAATTAAAAAAAGATTAATTCAGTTTTTCTTAAATTTAATTTTTTTTTTTGATACAATGGCAAAATACGGGAGTCAAGCTCAGTGTATAAATTTGGCTATTTTAAGGATTTTTTAAGTGATCTTAAATTTTTTAACTTTGCCTATTTTTGAACTTTTCAAATTAAAAGTACAAAAATCAGGTGTAAGTACTAAATACATAATAAAAAATGGTTTTGAAATTTTAAAAAGTTTATTCTGTGCGTATATGAACAAAAAGAATTTTGCAAAACAATTTGTCTAGTTAAAGTAACGACTATTTGAAAGTGACCGTTTTTCTGTACCCCCTTGGGGTACAATGGCTAGAAAATAAGTTAAAGGTATCGATTTGAAGGTATTGAAGCCGCCAGGATACAAATACGGAAAATCCCCTTGTTACACATTTATAAAGCACACCAATATTATCTTTACCGCAAGTAAGTACATTTGTATGTAAATTTTTGTTAAAACTGCTGGAAATCAAGAGTGCCTGCCGTTTTATGTAAATTACATTTGTGCACATGCTCATGGACACACATACATAAGTATGTATTTACATACATAGAAATCGAAAGCTAGACACCGTTAATTATCAATTGAGTGACGTACTTATCCGGCCAGAGGCCCAGAGAAAGAGAAGTAGTAGAGAAGAGATGGAGCCAGAGAGATAAAAATAAAATATAAAAAACTCCGGCCGGCTCGGCTCTTCTGTGTGCGTAATGAATGTTGTGCCAGTGGCGAGGACGGGACGGGACGGTGGCACAGGGACAGAGGGGGTCCGACAGCGAATTACTCGACGGCACTGTGCAATAATCGTAAACAAATGGATACCATACCCAATGGGCTGAGTGCGGTTTTTCTTTTGTTTGTTCCATTTTGCTACATTTATAAACATGTTCTGTGTTCCTCTGTTTCTCTCTGTTTTTGCAGCTGCTGACATCATCGTCATCATCGCGACTGGTATCGGGCATCGAACATCGGGCGGGGTTATTGAATCTTACCAGAAAATAAAAATCCACAAAACTGGGCGCGAGTGCAAGTAATTATTATACTTATTGTTAAGGCGCTTAAATATAAAAAAAGGGCTGTCTGGGCGCACGTTATGCGGATGAAGACCTAACGGGAATACACGATGAAATAAGATTCTCAACTGTAATAGGGGGATCAGGAGTAGGAAAGGAATTAGTTATGGCATTGTGCAGGCGGGGAAACTGTTTTTGCTGCCTAATTAGCTGACCTGATTTAGTATTTGCTTTGAGTTTGCTTTAAGTTTAGTAAAAGTATTGATTTAATCCAACAAGAAGAACTTCCATATACATATATATTTCCTATTATCAAAATGGTTCCTATTATCCTAAACTTAAAAAGGTGTGTTTAGATAGATACTAGATTGTGTACAGACTGGTAGACCCTCCAATATCTATATAAAAGCTGGTATAAACTCATAGAAGTCGGGAGAGTGCTCTCCATGGGGATATTTTCGACGACATTCTAAGACCGTATCCCAATACTCCTTTAAAACCCATATTTCAGAAACGAAATCCTTAACAGTGCTCCGGCTGGAGGTTTATTGGGAATCACCTCCGTCCAGCATCCAAATTTAAAGAGTGACCCAAAAAGCGCCCACGAATGATCGAAATACCAATATTATGTATGCTCCAATCCAACAATTCACACGCGCCAAAGACATCAACGTTGCTGTAATTTATTTTCGCGCAGCGGAAATGAAATTTATGCAAGCCAATAGCTAGGCCCCAGACTGGGAGTGGGAGGAGCTGCAACCGAGCTGATGTGTGCCACATATTACATCATTTTTGGGGGAGTCAAGCGACAAAGTTGGGCCACTGAAAGGAAAGGGAATGGGAAGCGACAGGGGCATGGGCATGGGCATATGTGTGTGCGTGCAGGACGCAGCCATCGGCATCGATGACAACATGTTTTGCATATCAAAAGATCCGTTCGTTGAGCAAGGGTTCAAGAAACCAATAAACGGGCTATCATATCATTTATAAGAAAGGGATAAGAAATACAAAAAAAAAGTCTTAATTGAATAGTGAATATTACATGCATTGGCATTGTCTCCGACGGAGGTTTATCGTTATTCCATCGTTATGTGTTTATTCAGACATTGCCGGAGATTGTTTCACAACAATCACCAAAGAACACTCGCTGCACTCCACAATCGCGTCACTTGTGACTAGCCCGCTTTGTCCGGGTGACTCATCGATGGTTCCAGCTCCGTCCAGCAGATATTGACCGCCGCAGCGGCAGTCGTACGCATAGCTCCACACTGTCACCGTCTCTTTGTCTGCGTCTGCGTCACCGTCAGCCTCGCCACCATCTTCCGTGACTTCTACTTGGATGCTTCGCATGTCGCTACTCGATATGTGGGCATATATGTTGTTGTGCGCTTGAAATTTGGACTGCAGCAATTCGGCATCATAGTGTTTACGCTTGATTGGATCTTTAAGCGTGTTCCAGGCCTCGTTTATAGCGTTGAAGTCGCTCAGGTTCTGATCTTTTCGCTCCTCCACTCTCACCGTTCCCTCATTTGGGTCAGCCCCATCATGCTGCTGTAGTTTGTCGGGATGACACTGTAGTATCAATTGTTTGTAGCTGCCTTTGATCTCTTCAAAACTGGCCGTCTCTGCCACTTTGAGAAGCTCATAGAAGTTGGGCATCATCTGCAAGACAAGAAGTTCACATTAAATCCATGAGTGAAAATTGAATTGGACGAAGAAAATACTTACATTTAATAAAAAAAAACTGTGGAAACCCGCTGTCAGGTCGCCAAGTTTAACTTTATCATGTTTTCTATTGGTTTCCAGGAGAAAATGTGCGTTTCATTTTGTCACTGTCGGCGACGTCCCGTTTACCAACACTTGGTGTTCTGGCGCCACAACAGCTGTTTATTGTTTGTTTACATGATAAATCACGAGAACACAAACACACACACACACACATCGCAATGATTACCAGTAACTTTAATCAATACCAAACCAAGCACAGCCGCAGCCACCCCCACGCAAAAGCAAGCCCAACCCTCCTCTCGGAGCCATTCCCTTTGTTCTGAAAACGGAAACAGCCCCAAAAAGGAGTGTGGTACGTTTTTGTCATGTTGCTAGGTGGCGATAAAACAGCCTTTTCACATATGTACAAACATCTTTGCGTGTTTTTTAACCATAATTCCCACTCAGCCAATCTCGCAAAGATCCCGTTAGAAAAATGAGTCGAATTTTCATCGCGGCGTCTATTAAGTTGTCACTTTTAGCACACACGCACACACTCGGCCGCTCGCTCTCTCTTTCTGGCACACATGTACAGAAAGTGGTACATATTATTGTCAAAAAGTCAAGCCCCAATTGCACTTGGAGAAGGGGAAACAAGGTCAACAAACTGGTTCGACAGCAGCAGCCAAAAATATACACATATACATACACAGGACAGGAGAGCGAATGTCGCTGCAAAAACCAAGCAACGTAACGCATACATTGACCTAATTTTTAAATTACCAAACAAAAAGAACGGGGATAAAATGGGACAAGAGGGCAAAAAGGGAAGGGCCGACCCCAATCAGAAGGGGCAGAATGTATTAATTTGTTCATTTTGAGGTAACTAAAACTAAAGCCCCAACAAACCGCAAATTTGTAGACGAACCAAATGTGGTTGCCGTGCCGCCACTAAACCAAGACTTGCCTCTTACCTTTTAAGGTGTCGACTTTTCCTGCCGTAGCTGCTGCTGTTGTATCCGTCGATATTGCTCCTTTCTATGCTTTTACATATATTGTGATTCTGTTTTTTCAGTTCAACACACTTTTCGCGTAGCACATTTATATCATTTATATAAACAGTTTTTTATTGTCACGTGCACTTGCCAAAACCATTCATTGCATCTTGTATTTTCCGAGCGCGCGGCAGCAATTCCGAAGAAATTAATTTCGTTGTATTTTCCGAGCGCGCGGCAGTAGAGGTGTCAAACCATCGAGGGCACTATCGATAGTATCGCTATTTTACTGATGGCCTCTACTATCGACGGTTTTGAGACTATCATGATAGTATCGAGCTACAGTCGTTGCGCTTTTGATATGTTTGGATTGGCTGCTATAAAATACGAAGATAAATTTGTAAAAAAAATCGACAGGTGGCATCAAATTTTTACAATGGACAAGTTCCTAAAAGGTTTCAATGGTTTTTTAATAATTATTTCAGCCCGATACTATCACGATAGTATCGATTGTTTTTTCAAAACATTCGACGTTGATATTCCTCGATATTGATATTCCGTTTAATATTACCAGCTAGCTGGGACTCTCAGCCCTAAACAAATAGTTTTATCCAATAGATACATAAATTTTGTTCAGGATTGGTTAGTTTTTAGAACTCTTTTTCATTGGATTGTTTACATATTAAGGTTCAAACAAAAACGCCCAAAGCATAAAACTTAAATGTTGACTAAATGTGACGTCACATGTTGCTGGTCAACCAAGTTTCTTCTATGCGTATGGATTTTTGTATACCTTATTTCCTTTAATTGAGGTTAAATTTAATATTCCAAGCTCCATTGAAATATTAATAATGATTTTATCCTAGATTGACAAGTTTTTAACCTCTTAATGAATATATTTGTGTGTTATAAATACATATATCCCGGTTCTGATACCTATTATTGGTAGTCGTGAGCTGCAAAACTTTTTTAATATCTTTAGAACAGAGATGGAATAGTTTTTGCATTAATTGGAGCCTGAAAATTCAAACAATATCTCAAGTCCATAATATCCATTTTCCCAAGGTATTCAGACTTGTTGCTCATTCCGTGCTAAAGTTGCAGAACAATGCTGCCTATTCATTTCCAGATGTTGCTGAAATTTTTCCCACACAAACCATGTATCGCGTATGGAATGACGCAACAATGAATCTTCATTCCATACGCGCTCCCGTAAGATACATTTGATTTTGTATGGGAAAAATTTCAGCAACATGCTGCCACACCACGAAAATGAGGGGAAAGTCTCCACAAAAACACTCTATTCTCCACTGAAAAGAGAGCACTCTCCACGAATTGAGAGCAAATTTTGAAAACTCTCCACGAATTGAGAGCGAAAAATGTCAGTATTTTTGGTGCGCTAAATTGAGTTTGGCGGTCAATTTGAAATGTGTCTTAATATTTGGAAAAATAAATATTCCACTTGATTTGTTTTGTCGAGTGTGACTGGAACCTCAGAAACGTCATTTTCAAAATATGCCGTAAACATACCGAGAAAAAAAATTTTTACCATTTTGAGCGTCTTGTAAATATTATGGTTTCAAATGCACAATGGATCCTGATGGAACTAGTTCTAGTTCAATGGCCAAAGTAATCAGGGTGACCATATACGGTATTTAAAATTCGTTTTGATTTACATATTAAGGTGATGGTATATTGGTAATTAGCCAATACTGGTTATTGCCGCCACTAGTAATCAGACCTGAAAAATGCTTATCGATATGTCGAATCGATAGGTACATTTTTAACTTTATTTTCTTAATCTCTTAGAATTAACAGATACAAATATATTAGTATCCAAATAAGATCGCACAAAAGCAAGTTTCCATATGAAAGAGTTTTCCCGGAGGTAAATTTCATAAAAACCAGCATTTATTATTTTATCGATAGTTCCACATACACATTGAAAGCAACCCTGCCGTACGATGCTTGAGCTGTCAACGCAGTTTCCGCTTTCTTTCCGTGCGGTTCTTAAACATGACTGGTTTAACGAACAGGGTAAGTGCCGAAAAAAAGGCAAATAAACCAATCTAATGTGACGGTACTATCAAACAAATGTATGCAAAGCGTTGAGTACCATGTGGACTTGTGGTGACAGTGATAAAATGTTGCAAGTGGCAACGAACAGCCTGTGTTTTTAGTGGCAAAACAGTTTCCCCCCTGTACACGTGCCCAAGTCAGCGGAAGTATTAGCGTATGTGAAAATGAGCAATTGCTGCACAAAATGAGCATGGGTAGAGTGAAATGTGTTCATTATTATTTCTAGAATGTGAAATGGCGGAAAATTCAGCTTGCACACATTTGTTTATACGGCGCTCACAAAACATAACCTCACATTTCTGACGATTGTTTTTGTGCTCCCCTTGCAGACCGTTGTTATTGATGGTCGCGGCCATTTGCTTGGCCGTCTGGCCTCCGTCGTCGCCAAGTACCTGTTGCAGGGCGGCAAGGTGGCCGTCGTGCGCTGCGAGGAGCTGAACCTCTCCGGCCACTTCTACAGAAACAAAATCAAGTTTTTGGCCTACTTGCGCAAGCGTTGCAACGTCAACCCAGCCCGTGGTCCCTTCCACTTCCGTGCCCCCTCTAGGATCTTCTACAAGGCGGTCAGAGGTATGTACAGGCCCAAGGCGAGTGGAGTTCAGCCAATCCGTGATGTTTTCAATCTTATTACCTACATTATTTGAATGAGAAACCATGTAAACAAAACATAACTGAGTGAAGCTGGTCCAACCATTCCTGCCTCTTCCCTCTGAAATCATGTATTAACTGTCTCTTCTTATTTTCTTTCAGGTAAGCTCGTGTTTCAGAGGTCCTCCAAATTTAACTTTCGTGATGATTATTACTATCTTACCTACATTATTTGAACGAGAAGCCGTGTAACCAACCTAAAACTGACTCGCCCATCAGATTATCAAGCCTGCTTCAGCCATTGTGCCTTTACTAAAGTACTGGTTTTTCTCCTTCGCAGGCATGATCCCACACAAGACCAAGCGTGGCCAGGCTGCCCTCGCCCGTCTGCGTGTGTTCGATGGCATCCCATCGCCCTACGACAGGCGTCGCCGCGTCGTTGTCCCCATCGCTATGCGTGTGTTGACCCTGCGCTCCGACCGCAAGTACTGCCAGGTCGGCCGTCTGTCGCACGAGGTTGGCTGGCACTACCAGGATGTGATCAAGAGCCTGGAGCGTAAGCGCAAGGCCAAGTTGCGCGTAACCCTCAAGCACAACCGCGAGCTGAAGAAGCTGACTGTCCAGGCACGTGAAAACATCGCCAAGGCGGCTGAGCCCTTCAACAAAATCATCAAATCCTATGGCTACGAGGTTTAAGGACAACAAAAACACCGGCAGATGCGTAGCAGTTTTTTAAAGGAAATAAAACAACATCTAAGTTTAAAAAACAATCGTCTTGTGTAGATATTCATACTGAGGGGGACGGCGAACGACGCATTGATGGATCTGATCAGGGAAAGTTCTTCGAATTCCTATCGAAAATGTTCATCCACAAAAAGCTTGCCACTAACAGCTGATCTGCGAAAGCTTTTCCAGTCAGCTGTGTCTGTCTGCGACAGGGATGCATGTAAAGAAACTTTCGAGTGTCCAGAGTTTTTTAAAGATCTTCACGATAATATAATGTCTGTCTTCAAGGGCAAAGTAATTATTGTAACCGGAGCCAGCTCTGGCATTGGGGCAGGTGCTGCCGTCCACCTGGCGAGTCTTGGTGGACTCTTGGTAATCGTGGGACGCAATGTGGAAAAGTTGAAGGAGACCGCTGACGGTATTTTGGCTGCTGGGGGAGCTCCAGCGTTGCAGCTGCAGGCCGAGATGACCAAGGAGGCGGATGTGGAGAAGATAATAGCCGCTACCCTGGAGAAGCATGGTCGTATCGATGTACTGGTCAACAATGCAGGGATTTTGGAGACTGGATCCATCGAGAACACCAGTCTGGAGCAGTTCGATCGTCTGATGAACACTAACGTGCGGGCCATGTACCAGCTCACTATGCTAGCCACCCCCGAGCTGATTAAAACCAAGGGAACCATTGTGAATGTGTCTAGTGTGTGTGGAGTGCGTGCATTTCCCGGTGTCTTGGCCTACAATGTGTCCAAGGCAGCCGTGGATCAGTTCACAGCCTGCGTGGCCCTAGAACTGGCTCCCAAGGGCGTGCGCGTCAATGCCGTCAACCCCGGCGTAATTATCACCGAGATACACAAGCGCGGCGGCATGGATGAGACAACGTATGCAAAGTTCTTGGAGCACTGTAAGGTCACCCACGCACTGGGTCGCCCTGGCGAGGTAAAGGAGGTAGCAGCGGCCATTGCATTCCTAGCCAGCGATGCGGCCAGCTTCAGCACTGGAATAAGTCTGCCCGTGGACGGTGGTCGCCACGCCATGTGCCCCCGCTAATACAACTCGTTTGGGAAACACGTAGCATCTATGGCATTTAAAGTAAATATCTATATCTGTATCTCTGCATACAGGTTAATAAATTTATACAACGTACATATGTACATAGTGTAGTTTCAATAGTAGCGAAGTAAAATCTTCAAAGCTCCGAAGTAAGTTTCTTCTTCTCTTTAAAAAACTATAAACATTGTGCGCGTATATATGTATGTATGCATATGTATGTAATATGAATACTGACTATCTCATACTCGAAATATCAACTCTATAGTGCGTTAATTGACTGATAATTATCACCCAATTCCTCATTTCACAACGACTGGAAATAGCCCCAAAAGCTGGGGCTATCGATATTGTTATCGTCAACACTCGACACCCAACACCACCAATTCCTCCATTCCACTCCCACTTCCAGAGGTTCGTTCGAAGAGCCAACACAAATAAATGATGCCCAGTTTCAAAGATAAGGTTATTATTGTGACAGGTGCCAGCTCCGGGATTGGGGCAGGCACTGCCGTTCACCTGGCCCGTCTGGGTGGCCTCCTGACCATTGTGGGACGCAACGTGGAGAAGCTGAAGGCCACTGCCGACGAGATAGTCGCCGCGGGAGGAGCCCAAGCTCTGTTGATCGCAGCAGACATGAACAGGGAATCTGATGTGGAGCAGATTATTTCTGCCACGCTGGCTAAGCACGGACGCGTCGATGTGCTGGTAAACAATGCGGGAATTCTCGAGTTGGGCACCATTGAGAACACCAGTCTGGAGCAGTACGATCGCCTGATGAATACCAATGTGCGCGCGATCTATCACCTCACCATGCTAGCCACCCCCGAGCTGATCAAGACGAAGGGAAACATTGTTAACGTATCGAGTGTGAACGGCATCCGATCCTTCCCCGGCGTGCTCGCCTATAATGTGTCCAAGGCAGCCGTCGATCAGTTCACCCGCTGTGTGGCCCTGGAGCTGGCTCCGAAGGGAGTGAGGGTGAACTCTGTTAATCCCGGAGTGATCATCACCGAGCTACAACGTCGTGGCGGGCTAGACGAGGAGGCATATGCCAAGTTCCTGGAGCACGCAAAGGTCACCCACGCACTGGGTCGCCCTGGCGAGGTAAAGGAGGTAGCAGCAGCCATTGCCTTCCTAGCCAGTGATGAGGCTAGTTTCACTACCGGCGTTAGCCTGCCCGTGGACGGTGGTCGCCACGCCATGTGTCCGCGATGAGGTGTGCTGGCATCTATTCCGAGTCTCTCCAGAATAAATTTGGTTAATCGATTTTATAATATACATAAGTTTGTTCATTTCATTGGGCAGCAAGGGAAACAAGCAGCGAGTCTGTGAAATATTCGGAGATCTGCTCAAAAAGAAGACAAGTAGTACACCAACACTCTGCAAGGGCTCATCAATGGCACTGGAGTCATTTCTGAAGGTCGTCTTTGCTAACAATGTGAGATCTATGTACTTATATAACTTGTGAGACGATCAACAAAAAAAGGCATGTCTCACAACCCCTGGTCACCCGAACCGTGCGTGATGTGTCCCCCTAGTAGCTGTTCGTTTTAAGCTATGTATATTTATTATAAAAGGCACAAAATAAATGCAATAACTGATCAGACGGGAGCTCATTTGCGTATCTATTTGGAGCAAGCGAAGTCTATCTGGGACACATGGCGTGGCGACCACCGTCCACGGGCAGGCTAACGCCGGTAGTGAAACTAGCCTCATCACTAGCTAGGAATGCAATGGCCGCCGCCACCTCAGACACCTCTCCGGGCCTGCCCAGAGCGTGGGTGACCTTTGCGTGCTCCAGGAACTTGGCATATGCCTCTTCGTCTAGCCCGCCACGACGTTGTAGCTCGGTGATGATCACTCCGGGATTAACAGAGTTCACCCTCACTCCCTTCGGAGCCAGCTCCAGGGCCACACAGCGGGTGAACTGATCGACGGCTGCCTTGGACACATTATAGGCGAGCACGCCGGGGAAGGATCGGATGCCGTTCACACTCGATACGTTAACAATGTTTCCCTTCGTCTTGATCAGCTCGGGGGTGGCTAGCATGGTGAGGTGATAGATCGCGCGCACATTGGTATTCATCAGGCGATCGTACTGCTCCAGACTGGTGTTCTCAATGGTGCCCGTCTCAAGGATTCCCGCATTGTTCACCAGCACATTGAGCTTGCCGTACGCCCGAAGGGTGTCGGCCCACACACGCTCAGTGTCCTCCGGCTTGCTGATGTCGCCTGGGGTGCACACCACTTGAACTGGAGTGGACTGGCTCACCTCATTGCATTGTTGGGCCACCTTGTTCAGGTTTTCCACATTCCGTCCGTTCAGGGCCAGGCAGGCGCCAAGTTTCGCGAATTTGAGAGCTGTTGCGGCCCCAATCCCAGAGCTCGCTCCTGTAATTAAAACAACTTTACCGGCGAAACTCATGATCCCGTGTTATGCAAGATTTGATCAAGGTCGTCGCAATCAGACCCTCAGAAATATAACGAAATATACCTTATTATTTTTTTATATACCGTAAATATACTGACGGACACGACAAGATGCGTTTGATATTCCTCGATTTTGATATTCGATTTAATATTTCTAGGTAGCTATGACCCTCAGCACTACACACAAAAATTTCTCCGATTCATGAATCAATTTCCCACGGGATTAGTTAATTTGAAGGACTCCTTTTTTATTGACTGCTTTACAAAATAGGATTCAAGCAAAACAAGTAAAAACATAAAACGTCAGCATGTACGGAATGTGACGTCATTATTGCTGGTCAACCAAGTTTCTGATATGAGTATGGACATTTGTACACCCTTTAACTAAAGTTACATTAATACCCTCACCGTTCATATGGAAAAAGTATGCACTGTCATAAATAGAGAAGTTTATAATGGAAATAATCAAATAGAAATTACTCGCTAAAATAATTGAAAGTCGATTTTCACTATTATGTTGAAGCCCTTTAGGTCTTATGCTATATGACTGTATTTGTATATATTTATATCTACCACTAATTCCCTTCCACTTCTTAATTCTTCCCTTCCTTTAATTACTATTTACTATTAAGTACTATTAAGTAGCAATTTTCCTCAATTATTAGGTGCTACCATTGCACGTAAACATAAATTAAGCCCGAAGTAGAAAAACATGGTAAGAGCTAGACTTCATCAATCAATGTCTATGACGGGAACATAATATATAGGACAGGTCTAAATTAAAAGTTGTCGTATACTCCGAGTTCCACTAGCGGAGATGTACATATAGCTGATCGGACTCATACGTTCCGTAAGGGCTGAGGGATGTGGAATGACATTTCATATGTATGTTCCCACATGCGAATGCGGATCGTACGGCATTGGTAGCGCTCGTCCATAGGCTGGATCCGATGGTGGGCGACTCTGATAGGGATCTGCTGGTCTATGATACGGTGCCCACGGATATCCGAGGGCCGATGAAAACATCGATGTTTTTAGAAATTGTTGTGTAAGCTAACCATAACCCATTACGTTCCGAAGGGATTTTTAAAATCTTTTGGATGGCAGACGTCACAGACTAGCAACATAAATGTGTGTCATATTAATTTTTTTCTAATATGTTGTATTTGTCACGTACACAACACATGCATGCTTTCTCCAGAGGCTCGTCTATGTCCAATGTGGATTCAGTGGAGGGACAATTATTTTTTCCATAAACTATTACAATAAGGGTAGCCTAACAAGAGGATTTAAATCAGAGACTATTATAACTAAATTGGCCCTAAATTTTGGGCTAAATGTTGTATTTGTTTGAATTAATTTGTTACATAAGAAAGGTCGTATATACAGGTCCATATATTTATTTAACTATTACATTAAGGGTTAACAAAATTAAAGGTGTCTATATACCGTCCATATATGTATTTAATTTAATTTATGCAACTAAAAACGAACTAACCTCCGTAATCATTAAAATTTTTTATTTTTTTCTATGTAAAGCCTAGTACTCAGATCCAAAAAGTGTTTGCTAGCAGAAATATGTCAGATATTCTTCTAGCGGCCAGTGGTGTGACCAAAGGTGTGCACTGCATTCCGTACGGTTACACTGCTCAGACAGATGCTTGGTTTTGTTTAAAGTTAATGCCTAGGCATATCCTGGGCTCCCCAATATTTTATTGGCAAGGAAATGTGTCTGACTATCAACAGCAGCAAATGGCAACGCCTCCCGTGCCGACCACCGTGAAGATAAAATGTTTTGCAAACAATATTTGTTTTATATTCATGAAAATTAATAAAAAATAATAAATTATACTATCCATATAATTGTCATTAATTTGTCTTCACTATTAAAATATTTCATTTGGTTTTTTGTTCTCATTTTGCAATGTTTACGTTCGTTTTTGCTAGCAGAAAATATAAAATTGATATCTTTTTCGAGGGGCGCTAGCAACATACCAACGAATAACGAACAACGAATAAATAAAAACATCGATGTTTTACAAAAATAATCGATGTTTGGCACACTTGGTCACACTGGGCACCGAGCGGAATATATAGCACTTTCTGTCGCAAAATAGCGCTTCTGAGACTTAACATCGATGTTTCTCCAGCTCTAATCATCTGTACAAGAAAAGTAAGTGGTGTGGCTGTCGCCCGCACAAAACTTTGCATTTAATATTAGCTTTGAAGCGAGCAAATCGACACAGCGCGGAGCTGGGCGCCGTGTGATTGTGTGTGTGTTTTATTGCAGAAACGTCGACGACGCGTAGCGAGAAATTCGGTAAGGGAAGTAAGAAGAGAAGCGTACCGTACGTTAAGCTAAGAAGGAATACGCAAATACACAGAATAGCAAACAGCAATGGACGTATCACAGCCACCGCCTCAGTTGCTGACGGCGCCATCTGCGCTGGCGACAAACTTCACATCCCTTCCTCCTCCCTCGATGGGCGGACAGCACTACAGACATTACCATCCCCATCATGGCTCCAACAAGCATGGCTACAACCAGTTTAAGCCCTTCATGCCGGGTGGCTTTCAGCGGCCCTTCGGCATGTCCCAGGACGATTTCGATGGCAAGCGATTGCGCAAAAGTGTAATGCGAAAGACCGTGGACTACAATGCGTCCATCATCAAGGCCCTGGAGGTGAGTGTGAAGGCTTTCATTGGCTTGGTCGCACCGCAATTTCTATAAAAATATTTTACTTGCTTGCAGAACCGCCTATGGCAGCGTGATCACAGGGATCGACTGGCCCTGCAGCCCGATAGCATATATGTGCCTCATATGCTGCCGCCTTCCAGCTATCTGGACAACCCCTCGAATGCAGTGACGACGCGCTTTGTCAAGACGGCCACCAATAAAATGCGCTGTCCCATCTTTACGCTAGCCTGGACGCCAGAGGGCAGGCGTCTGGTCACAGGAGCCAGCTCAGGCGAGTTTACGCTGTGGAACGGACTTACATTCAACTTCGAGACGATCCTTCAGGTGAGTTGGAAGCCCGCCAGCGGCGCAGCTAATCAACTGATGTGTTGTGTCGCCCAGGCCCACGATATATCGGTGCGCACCATGGTCTGGTCACACAACGACAGCTGGATGGTAACCGGAGACCACGGCGGCTATGTCAAGTACTGGCAGTCCAACATGAACAACGTCAAGATGTACCAGGCCCACAAGGAGGCCATTAGGGGAATAAGGTATAGCCATTTAATTGTAACTGTCAACTGTACTATTTACCCATCCGTAGCCGCTGACGCGAGCATGAGGCTGCCGTCAATAGCAAGTCAATGTCACAGCCAAAGCCAGAACACGGTCAAAATCGAAACACTAGCTCGCGTTGCTCACTCTCGTTGTTGTTGTCCTTGTCGTTGTCCTTATCCCATTGTCTCGCTAGACGATCTGACTCGGGCCGCGTGGGCAGTTGCGGGCATTCATATCCTCAGACACCTTGTTAGATGTTTACTAGGTGATCGATTACTCCTAGGGCTGTTGCTGTTTGCTGTTTATCAATAAAGTTATCACTCGAGCAACATGCCATTTAGCCGGTTTAGCCGTCCCTCCCTCCTAGCCTTCCTTGACTGGGGAAATTATGATTAAACAAAAGTTCCCCAAGAGAACATCCCCATATCTGTATGTTGTAAACCCTCAGAATGAGAACTCCTCTGTGTTATAGCTATAAACAATTAAAGACTGAAAGTGAAATGCAATACTGAGATACCTGAGAAACAATAAAAGCAACCAACTTAACTGAAAACGAAACCAGTGCACCATTTTATTTACGCGGATCACAGCATCAACAACAACAAATAAAATAAAAACTGAATGCAACAACAGATTGTTAAAAAATTCGGGGGTTCGAGTGTTTTCTTTTGTGAGCCGGTGCCGATCCCGATCCACCTGGCCTGCCCCAGGCTGGAACCATTCTGGCGACTGGGCCAACAACATCTTGCGAGCGCATCTGCCAACAGATAGCTCAGCACAGTCAATCGAACTTGTAGGACTCTACAGTAAACTCCCGAAGGCATCGACATATTGTTAAACGCCTTCATTATGGATGCGGCGACGTCTGAATGCGTGCGCTTCTATCCGAAGAATTCCTCAAATTATACTTTACAAACCTTTTCAATTTGTTTTATGGTTTTTGTTTGTTTTTCCTTTTAAGAATTGAATCTAAATTATCTTAGTTCAATAATCAATAATACCTACTGCAAGGAATAATTAATTTGGATAAGTAGATTACATTTGCAAGAATATTTAAGAGGCGGAGAGCCCTCAAAATAAAGAAATAAAATATTTGAAAACTGAATTTGAGGAATGCAATACTTAAGAGAAATATTAAAATATCGTTAAATTAACGCCCATACCCCACCCAATTGATGATGTGATGTCGTCTTCTGGTGAAGAATAAAATAACTGAAATCAATCCAGTGATATATCCCGTCCCATCCAACTCACACACCCTTGTCCAATATTTTGTAAATATTATAGAAGCTAAGATCAGCAAAGCAAAGCAGATATAAGATTAAAATGCGCTAAGGCACATGATTCATTCATACACACACACATACACAACTCAATCCGTATTTTGTTACGTTCTAACCTTTCTCCAATGCAATCCAATAAACGCAGTTTTAGTCCAACGGACAGCAAGTTTGTCAGCGGCAGTGATGACGGCACTCTGCGGATCTGGGACTTTATGCGCTGCCAAGAGGAGCGAGTGCTGCGAGGTGAGCCCTTACCTTACCACCAGGGTGGTCTACTGGTCTACAGCAAATTAAATGTAAACATTTTCCGCATTTTAATGTATAGGTCATGGTGCCGATGTCAAGTGCGTGCACTGGCATCCTCACAAGGGAATGATCGTGAGTGGGAGCAAGGATAACCAGCAGCCCATTAAGATCTGGGACCCCAAGAGCGGGATTGCCCTGGCCACGCTGTGAGTATCCCCCTCTTGATTTTGAGAATCGTCAGCAACTTTTCATTGAATCACCTCCAATTTTAAACAGACATGCCCACAAGTCCACGGTGATGGATCTCAAATGGAATGACAATGGAAACTGGCTGGTCACCGCCTCGAGGGATCATCTGCTGAAGCTCTTCGACATACGGAATCTGCGGGAGGAGGTCCAGGTGTTCCGTGGCCACAAAAAGGAGGCCAGCTCTGTGTCCTGGCACCCCATTCACGAGGGCCTCTTCTGCTCCGGCGGCTCCGATGGATCCATTCTGTTTTGGAATGTTGGGTGCGTTTGGCTTGTAGTTTAAGAGTGATTTTGTCTAAGAAAATCTTCGATCTCTTACAGAACGGATAAGGAAATTGGCAGCGTGGAGACGGCCCATGACAGCATTGTGTGGACTCTGGCCTGGCACCCGCTTGGGCACATTCTGTGCTCCGGCTCGAACGATCACACAATTAAGTTCTGGACCAGAAATCGTCCGGGAGATCTTATGCGTGACAAATACAACCTGAACACATTGCCCGCCAGCTTGGCTGCATTGGATGAGTGTGAATACGGTAAGTTCTTTTGTTTTGGATGGTCCGCACAGAGAGTGTTGCGCATCTGCTTTACGTACTTCCGTTCCCACAGATGATGCCATAATACCCGGCATGGGACCTGAGGACAGGGTGGAGTTTACCGAAAGCCTCACAGCCGATAAGGGCTTCATTCCCGGCCTGGATCTGGATCCCAGCAAGGCTCTCAGCGATCGGGACAGGGAGAAGAAGGTGCCCTACAGCAAGCCCATACCACGGAACTTCCAGGTGCAGTGGGCGGGTCCTCGCCGCGCCGACGATCCGAGTGTGCTCACAATCCACGAGGAACTGGCAGCTCGTGAGGCCAAGGACTTTTCCAACGGCCTGACGCACCAGCAGATAAGCGAAAACACCCTGGAGGGCATTCTGGCCAGTGGCATGCTGAACGGCCTCGATCCACACACAATTGTCGGCGTTTTTGCCTACAATCGCTTCATTCGCGTGCATCCCGATTCGCGTCTGATGGGGGCCATACGTCAGGGAGCGGACTTCCTCAACAAGTACGTCGACGCTGGCAAGTTGGAGGAACTGAGCGATGTGGTGCCCCTGAAGGATCGATCAAGATCTGTCTCCCCCGCGGTGGAGGTTCGCGGCGAGGTGGCCTCGCCCCCAACGAAGAAGTCCCGCTTCGAGCCCCGACAGCACAACGCACAGTTGGTATGCGTGCGCGAGCTGCTGCTCCTGAAGAAGCCCTTCCTGCCCTCGCTCGTCACCGCCAAGGCCCAACAGCCCAATACGGAGTTTGTGGATGAGCCCCCATTGGAGCAGCGCGAGCGGGAGAGAGAGAGGGACCGCGACCGCGATCGCGAGAGGGAACGGGATCGAGATCCATCCCAATCAAACAGACCCAATCCATGGGCTGCCAATGCTCCCTGGTCGAACAATGGAAACGGTGGGAGCGGAGGCGGAGGGAATGGCGGCAATGGCTCAAACGGCTTCAGCAACAACGGCCCTGAGAACTTCAACGAGCGAGAGCGGGACCAGTTTCCGAAGAGTGGCAACAACAACAACTCAAACAGCGGCGGACAGCAACGCCGCAGGCGTGGCAACAACAACTCCGGATCCAGTGGCGGAGGTGGAGGCGGTGGCAGTGGTGGCAGCGGGAGCGGAAGAAATCGGGGGCGAAACAACAGACGCTTCTAAACAGAATCAAATCCAGGAACCATCCACACTGATCCACACATTCTCTAATTGTAAGCCGACTCCTTTCGTTGACTCAATCACGCATGCAACATTGCTTTTTAATGCGAACACTCGCCTTGTATTGTTTTAGAAAGAAAAGAAACTGATTTGTAATATAATCCAAAAATGTGTTTTCATTCCGGGTCGATTCTGTGATCACAATGGTTTCGGTTGCCCTACCAAGTCACGATTTCACCTACTAATCTCACGTTTTTTCCAGCTGTAAGCTTTATTATACGAGTATATACATATGTATGTATGAATTCATGAAAGAATTTAAAATTAAACAGAACTATGATGGTAAAGTAAGAATATTTACACTTGAGTAGGAAGGTGTTAGCCTCTATAGACGGATATCTTAGCATCCTCACAAGATCTGAGAAAGAATTTCCACCAAAGTGCTTAAATTAAAATACAAATATCTTCCAAATAATCCTCCTGCCCTGTACAAGATCATTATATTGTCGAAGTGCAATCAATTTGACTTATTGAACCTGGTGAAAATAATCATATACGAAATACGAGTATATTTAAGAATAAAGTATTTTTTTGCAGTTGATTGTAGTCAATGTTCAATCATTCAACATAAAGAAAATTCGTTTGGGTATTATGTTCAGTTCTTATAGTTGATAAAGATGCTAGAATCGAAAGAGCGTGTAATTTATTCGAACTCATTATAACGTCTTAGCGAAAGAGATGCTTCTAATTCCCGGCCCAAATGATATGGTTCCAAATGTGCCCGAGTTGTAGCTATCTTTAAGCAAGTTTTATGCTATCCAAAAATACACATACAATTTGATGAGAAAACTAAGCTTCCGTCTCAACCTCGTCCAGGATGCTCCCGTCTGTCCTTTGTCGTCGAGTTGTGCGTCTCCACCTCCAGGCTTTGCACAATAGTGCTCCTGGATCTGGATGTACTTCACAGCTTTCTCCTCAGTCACGACCAGCACCCCGGACGACCTCGCCCATAATCCACGTCGACAATAGCTGCATGGAATCAGCAACAATATTTCTCATTAAGCAGAAAAGGGATAGAGGGAGTGCTTAAATACACCTTGCCCTTGGCTAACAAGTGGGTTGCGTTCCTAGAAAACACCGACTTAACTGAAAACGTCTTAAGCGACCCATAGACTCAATATAAAATAGTTTTAATATTGTATATCAGTGTAGAGATTGGTGCTAAGACTCTCTCACAAGACCTATGATGTGGTCTGCATGAACGCCAACGTTCCCAGAGAGCCTAGATTGGAGAGTTTTGGAACATTGGGACCAGTGATGCAAAACCGAACACATACAACAAGAATTAAAATCAGAACTGAAGAAAACAATTAAAACGCCGAATTCAGTGAAACCTGAGCAGTTTGCTCAATCTGAATTATTTTAGAATATTTAGCATTGATTGCTTTTTAAAAATTGTTTTTGATTTTAACACCTAAAGCCGGCCCTGAAGTATAACAGTACGTTTAATGCCGTACGTTAGATAAGGGATCAAATTAGGTTTAAGAGATCGTCCACTACTGGCTTGTTGCTGCCTTGGGACGGCGCTTAGCCAAAAAATAATAATAAAATACGTTATTCAAAATACGCACAAAATGCTCATAAAATTTGATGAATTGTGTGCAAGTACAAGTATAACTTTGATATAGTGCAACAATATATGGAAATGTGTGTTTTAGGAAAAATAGATCAAAATACATACAAATACCAAAAATAAATATAAAATAGATCAGAATTTAAGCAACAGAATAGCGAACCATATATTTTTGTATTGCTGCAATTCCCAGAGAATTGTCCATCCCATATTGTCTAGTGGTTAGGATACCCGGCTCTCACCCGGGAGGCCCGGGTTCAATTCCCGGTATGGGAAACTATTAAGTTTTTTTTTCTTGATTCAAGGATGAGAGAAACCCTTTTTGTAGAGTATGTGTACCTTCTCTGTGTTACAAACATCTGGCAACCATTCACAATACCCTCTGCAAGGGCAGAGAAATTGTTCAGAAGGCCGTTTTATTTTTGTGTGGAACCTTACAGAACAATGTTAAAATAATTGAAATATTCTATGCAGCCAGAGAATTGCGGCGACTGCTACGCTCACTGCCGCCTCGTCTATCTTCATCGTTTGATTCTGTTTGTAGTTTGGTGTCCACATGATTGCTGCTGTGGCTGTTGGTTCGCTGCTGCCGGAAATTCTGCTTTATCTCTCGCTCCTCTTCGCGCATGCGATCCTTGGTGTGCTGCTCGATGGTGCGTTGGATTTGCTCAGCGGAGGCAACTAGTTTGTCAGCCTCCAGGACAATGTTTTTATCCGAATGGTTGCGAATGGGGCTGTGACTGCGACTACGACTGCGACTGCGGTGACGACTGCGATGCTCGCGGCGGGAATGGGAGCGCTTGCGCGAGTGGGAGCGGGATCGTGAGTAGCTGACAGAGCGGGATCGGCGTGTGGAGGCCAATTTGCGGTTCTTCCGTTGCGACGGCGTCTTGCTTCGACTGCGCGAATGAGATCGGCTGTGAGTCCGTCTAAAAATGTCAACGTGGTAAAATTTTGCATATATAATACGGGTGCTGTGACAGTGTTACCTTGATCTTGATGAGTAAGATGATTTGCGGTAGTGAGATCGACTGCGACTGCGGCTGCGCGACTGAGAGCGTCTGGAACGACAAATGATTCTATTCAAACAAAAATGAAAAAACACCCATTCTGAATCGAATTACTTACCGTCGTCCATGCGATCTACTCCGGCTCCTTGAATAGGATGAGGCAGAACGCGAGCGATGCCTGCAATAGGAATAGATCAACATATAATACAAGGGTTCCAATTCGCAATAGTCTGCAATACTAAAATGTACCTTCCGCGCGAAGACTTGTGATGGTATCCATTATCGTTATCTTCGTCGCCATAGCGATCATGCTTGGGATTGTAGTACGAGGATGATCCTTCGTACCCAGAACGACCACCACGGAAGCCTGCACCACGGCCCCGACCCCGGCCGCGAGGTCGCGGAGCAAAGCCTCGGTAATTGCTGGAGACGGGAAATGGAGCTGCAGGGCGATAAAGGGCTCCAGGAAACACGCCAGGTAAGCCGTATCCGAACATGGACAGCGATTGCATCCACTCGCTGGCTGCTTCGGCATTGTAAGCGGCTTGGCCCGGTACAGCGCCAACGGACATGGCAGTGGCAGGCTTGAAAGGATTCAGTGCCGCACTGGCGGCATTCGAGAGGGAATCTACGGCCCCAGGAGCTGCAGCTGTAGCCAAGCCATTTGCCTTAAGCCGCTTGCTGGCAGCTCTGGCGTTTTCGTCGTCGCTGCTGCAATCAGCAGCAGAGTTCTTCTTGGATTTACTCTTCAGCAGACCCATTAAGGGAGTATTACTCTTGATCTCCTGTACGATTTTTCGCTGCTCGCAGACCAGCTTCTCTGTGGCAGCCTTATACTTCTCCACCAAACGGCCCCGTTGAATGTCCTTGGCTTCATCTTGTCTTGCCCGGCGTGGCTTATCTTTTTGCTTCAACTGCAGCGAAAAAGGAAAGCAATCAATTAGTAGTTCTGGGAAAAAAAGAACCCGCCTCTATCTGTACCTGTATGCGCTCGAATAGCTTTTCCAGGGTGCGTATACTCTCCAGCTTGCGCTGAGCTATCAGCAGCTTGCGCTCCTCGATGCGTATCTTTTGCGAGATCTCCACCTGGCCGCGCTCGTGGATCTTTTTGAGATGTTTTTCTTTTCGTTTTTCTTCTCGTTCACGCTGCTTTTCCACCTCGGCTAATTTTAGTTCTTCCTGCTTTTTCCTGTAATTTTTGTTGCAATTTTGCAGGATTTTGTTTTGTTTTGTCTTGTCTATATTTTTTTATATGCATAAGAATATTTTTTTTGTTAACTGTTCGTCTAGAAGATACAGAGAACGGTAGGGTAGGCTAAATGCCCCACTCGCCCAACGACCGCCGTGTGAGAAACAAATGTAAAAAGCAATACTCTTTGTGAAAGAAAATGTGTCAATCGCCAAGAGATGAAACCAGTAATACTCGCAGTAGTTATACAACTCTATATAGAAATGCATGAAGATTAAGTTCGGAGAAAATGAGTTTGAAACAAGTGAACATTCTCCAAAATAAACTATCAGAGTGTGCAAAAGATCGATACGATCTTTAGTAGATCTGAGGCCTATCTTAATTATTGATTTCATTTCCTGGCTCAAACAATTATCAAACCTTTCGCGTTCCAGTTGTTCAGCTTGCTGTTTCTTTAAACGATCCCGCTCCTCATCCTCAGCCTGGGCCTTTGCAATGCACCGCTTTCTCATGCGCTCACGGCGCTGGATGTGCGAGTCGCTAAGATGCTTCTGCTTGTCGAAGTTGACACAAATGTTGATGGCCTGGGTCTTGTCCACGAACTTTCGGACCAGCTTTGTGCCACGAAACTCATCCATGGCACGCACAAAGCTGGTGTATTCCTCAAATTGTACATAGCTGAAGCCGGGATTGTAATTGTAACGATTGTATTAGTATTAATTGTATTAGCTGCGATCAGGAATTCTGTACTTACGCTTCGAAAAGAACATCTTGCTCGAAACTGAACGTACGCATGCCGTTGATGTCCGATTGCATAGTCTTGCGATAAGGATCACATATGGGTATGTCCACAGCACGGACGCGGCCAAATTTCTCAAAGATACGCTTGAAAATACTTTCGCTGGGCTTGACCTGCTCCTCGTGCTCCGAGTGCCGTGGGCAAAACCAACGCATGGGCAGATGGGTTAGATGTATGGTGTCTGGCCGCTCGCCCGCCTTCATTTCATCCATGTTGCGGGCATCGCGAAAATACGAGTCCCAGTCGTGACGTGTGGGAAACTCATCCTTGGATTCGGCGCATCGCACTCGGAAAGATTCGCTGAACCCAGAGATGCGCAACGAAATGCCGTCCAAACGTTCACGGGCCAAACGAAGACGCTTGCGCTCGTCTAACTCCGCTTCGAAGCGTATGTAGTCTACAGTGCTCTTGGAAACCTGCAATCGAAAGATCGGTTAAAGAGACATACCAGCTGCGGGTATAGCTTATGTACGTACTTTGAGCAGGAGAAACTTGTCCGGTTTGAGCTCAGCGCTCAGTTTGTCCATTATCTCCAGATTGGAAACGGATTTGCCGGATTTAATTTTCGGCAATGACACGGAGATTTGCATTTTTGCCCACGGCTTGAGATACAAGCTGTGGGGCAGGTAAAGTGGCGTGCAGTCGGCCACATTTTCTATTGTCTGAATGTTGATCATTTTTCAATGTACATATGTTATGTGGAGTTATTTTCGGCAAAATACAATGTAATTAATAAATGGGGCAAAATACGGAAAGTGATATCGTTTTGTTATGTGTTTACCAAATATACAGACAAAAATTACACCTGGGGTCAGAAAAATATTCTCAAAGAACACCTAAGAAATACCGCCCCTGTCATTGGACGATGTGTATGTATTTATGTGTGTCTAAATGGGTGAAAATTCTGCGCCCGTCCGGTCCGTCTATACCGCTGTGGGTTTGTTTTGTGTAAATGTCAGAACCTTGCCAACGCTACTTAAATATAACTAATTCTTTCACTTTATGCAAACGACGCCGCGCTGGATGCTAAAAAGAAATTTTAAGATTATTTTCTGTAAGTTGGGTTTTTCGCTGGTGGTGGGTGACTATCGATATCTATGCTTAATGCGAGTAGAGATGGGATGAATGTACTTTAAAATTCAAGTAATTTTCTTTACTCTGTGAAAATTGAGAGAAAAGTTAACAGAAGTTAACGAAAAATTGACGAAAGCAGGAAATTACTAGTAGTGGGATTGGTGGCTCTTGTAGCAGGAGGAGGTGCGCCTTTTATTGCGTTCGCATCAGAACGATTTTTATTACCCAAAGTCCAGTAACTCCCTCTTCACGCCCTGCTTTGAAGGGTTTTTTGTTTTTTTGGAGTCTATTATAGCGCAATGTGCGCTGGCGGCATAGAGAATATTTTTATATTTTGCTAGGGCCTAGCAAAAAAGCATACAATACTATCGCTGCTATTTTAGTATTAATCGGGTTTTCTTGTTTTTGAGCTTTATTGCTCAGCGTAGAGCCGCTAGCAAAAGCCTTTTGCTCCAATCAATTTCTAATCGGTTTCATACGAATATCAGAGTTCCAACCACCTTTTAATATTAAATCAAATATCAAAATTGAAAAATAGGACCGTCGGTATATTACTTCCCCATATTTAATGTGTGTGTGTTTTATTATAAAAACGAAATTGAAAAACCCAAGGAAAAATTCACGGATATGTTTGGGTATATTTTCGAGGGTCCGAACAGGGATGATTTCTTATCGGTAAACGCCGTATTATATATAAAACGGATTTATGTTTGGGTATTTTCGAGGGTCATAGGGTACCCATATCTGGAACGAAGTGCGTTATTTCATTTTTATACCCATTTAATTTAATTAGAAATATAAGAAAATCAACAATATGCGGGAGTGAAATTGTGCGAATCCAAAAACCAAAACGGGGTAAATGGCCGCTTCGTAAATGGGCTTAAAACTGACGCGAAATAAAACTGCCAACAACAACAACAACCAAGAGCAGAAAGCATAAGCAAGCAAACAGGCAACAACAACTACAGCAGCAACAACAACGCAATTGTGATAGACAAAGAAATAGATTAAGAAGGGAAGAAAACAGCAACAGAGAACGAAGGGGCCCACAAAACGCAAACAACCCAAGCACTGCGGGGGAAAATGGGAAATATATTTTTGCATAAATAACATATTAATGAAGAAAAACTGAGAAATAAATTCAAGAAAACGGTTTTACACACTTACATTTGTATTTGATACGATACGCAACGAAAATAGCTTTAAAGTAATAAGTAATAAGCAAGAAGAAGCAGCGGAAAAAAGCAAAGCGATACAAAATAAATAAGAAAATCATTTAAGGCAAACGGAAAATAAAACAATACTCGCGCTGAAAGAGACAAAGCGGAAGCAGAAGAGAACGCAAAACCAAAGCAAAAAGCAAATAAGAAGAGGCTTGTTGTGTTGTTGTTGACTCGACTTTGGCGTCGACGCTGCGCAGCGCTGCTGCCGCTGGCCCCAAATAAAAACACACAACACAGGCACGGCACGGCCACAGCTGATGCAAAATAATTTTCAGCGCTTGTGTGTTCGTTTACAATTGATTAAAACCAAAACACACAAACGCTCCACACACACACACAACGTAGCACACACAGGCACGCCATTGTGAAAATTGATCAAAGATTACAAGGTAAGTGTGAGCGCGAGTGTGAGTGGTGCATAGTTTTAATTAACCGTTAGTTATAGTTTTTATTCACACACACAAACATCCGACGACGCCCTTTTTACTGCATAAATTTCTCCCGTCCCCTCATTCTCCTCTCTTTCCCACCCCGCTGAATTGCAAATGCAGCTACACCTGCTGCCATTTTCTTTTTCGAACGTCAGCAACCCTTGCATACTACTGCTGTTCTTGTTGTTGTTGTCGCTGTTGTCTATGCTATGCGTCAGTTCGAGCCAAATTACAATTAATTGCAATCATTTACATATTTCAAGAGAATAGTTGTGTAGAAAATTGGTGTTTTTCTTTTTTTCTCTGCAGCCCAGTGCAAAAAAATAAAACAAAACATTTAACAGCTGGAGAACCGAATATCGATATTAGGTGCAAGGGAATCAGCTGATCGAGCCGTTCAGTTTCATTTTCGAGCGTTATTGTTTTGGCTGAACTAACTTACACGGCCCCACCTACCTTCACGAAATTCTGTATTTATTAAGTGCAGCTATATATGAAATAAATGCATTCCCAATTCACGGCATCTCCCCCGTGTGTGTGTCTGTCTGGAAGTCCCCTCTCCCATTGCCCTTTGCCCAACGAGTGTGAAAGTGTTTTTTTGTCGTTTTTGCCCCCCACAACGTGCACGGTACACCCAGCGCGCTGATAAACTCTGACAGCTCTGCTCGGCTCTTCGGGTGGCGTTAACGTTTGTGTAATCAGCTATCAGTGGAGTCGTCTGGTCTGTGTGGGAGCAGAGACTGCATATCCTCCGGCTGAAATGCTTTTCGGAGATCTCAGCCGTCATGACTACGTCACCTATTTGATTCAAAAGGTTTGATATCTGATCTTTAGTGGTATTCCTGCAAATGTTTACCCCGTTTTTACTGATAGGCTGATGGACATGCCTAGTCTCGGTTTAGGAATTAAGACAGATTTCTCCTTTTTCGATACGAATAGTATATGATAATGTATAGGCAATGTACATACATATGTATGTACATATATATGCATTTGTTCATTTGCGCAGCTGATAAACTGTTATCACTTTGGGGCTCGCTCGCTCGCTACGTCGGTGATGTGCTCTTGGTCAGGTCGTCCAGGTGGGGGGCTTTGACTGCACTCTTGCATGTCATGGATGACTAATGGGCAGATTATTGCCTTTAATTAATCAGTGTCGGCAGCTAGTATTTCACCAAGCTGTTATAAAGTAGCTTACAGATGTTGTCTTGGTCATTTGGGATGTAATTAGCCAATCGTTCCAGGTATTTCATCGCCGCTGTAAAATATTGTTTCGTTACACGTGCTCGCTAACGGTGGAAAATTTTGAGAAACGTTGTCCATCTCCTGGAAACTACAAGATCCTCTTATAAAACATTGTGAAAATCGCTTAGGTAAAAAAGGACTGTGACACACAGGTAAAGGCCAGAGCGTCGGCGGCGTACTTGGCATTGACACATGCACAGCAGCCCTCCTATATGTACATCTATACATCTGTACATATGTGTGTGTGTGCGCGATCCCACACGTGCAGCGCTCTCTTCGCCCATTCCCTCTCTGAGAGTGAGTGGAGTGGTGACGCGACAAGAGTCACTATTTTTCGATACGCCCGCTAGTCTAGACGTGTTTAAATTAAGGTGCGTTGATAATTCGAGTTTGTTTTCGCCTAGAACTTGCAAATGCTCTGCGCGTGTTGAGTGTGAAGCGGCGTCTGCTGCTTTCCTGTAATGTGCGCCTTATCAACGTTTTACACAAGCACCCAAGCTGCGCCAGACAAACTGTAAACAAAATTATAAAAATAAAATTGAATAGACGGCTGTGCACATGGTTGCTCTGCTATTTTTTATTGCGACTCGAAACCGTCCCAGTTAGTCATTAACATTGGAGCTGGCTGCCTGCCCCACACTCCGACCTCCGACAGAGCGACAGGCAGCGTCACAATGTCTAACAGCTGTTGAGAAATGTAACTAACATATTCGTGTCTTGTCTCTCAAACCCGTCGCTTTGCAAAATCTAATAAAAGAATTTAAAAAATGTATGATTCGCTATGTAGTTTGAAAATGTTTTAAGGAGGGAAATTTAATTAAAGTTGTTTTCTTAAAGTGTTTGTCTCTTTGATTAACATTAGCAAAAACAAAACAAAAACAACTGTAAACCATATTTTGGCTAACCTGCTCTCCCGCTCTCTTACTATGTCTTCCAGCATAACCGCCAGGTGGCAGCACCAGACTTCGCTGCCACACACACACACACGAAAACAACTACTACTAGCACACACACGTACAGATGAAGGAACAAAACCAATACTATTGAAGCACTGCCAAACCATAAGTGTAACGAGCAGAAATAAGGCGAAAGCGGTGGAGCTCACCAAGGTGGGGATACACTGTCAGAGAGAGAGAGAGAGAGAAAGAGGAGATAGAGAAACAGCTCCATGATGCTGTACGTATTCCATGTGGACGTCGGTCGCATGCTGAGCTTCGACATGAACGTGGCCCTGCAGTCCGTGGAGAACTTGAAGGAGACAATACAGAAGCTGCACGGCATTCCAGCCGTCAACATTGTCCTGCTGGTGAGCGGAGGCGAGATGCTGACGCACTCCACCCAGGTGTCGTGCTACTCGGCTGGCACCGACACCAATCCCATTTACATGTTTCTCACAGGCGACGAGCGGCTGGCGCCCACGATACAGAACAGCGACGCCGACGTGGAGCTCCGACGCCAGGTGGAGGAGAGCCACAAACTTCCGCCGGCCCTCGAGACAGTGCGTCAGCGGGCACAGCTGGCGCAGCATATGCGCGAGCTTGCGCGTAAGGAGGAGGCTCAGTGCGAGCGACTGGTCCACGAGCAGCATCTGCAGCAGCAGGGCTGGTCGGCGGTGGTGGCCAACATGGAGGATCTGACCAACGAGTTCCGTGAGCGCTTCCACAACTTCTGTCTGGCCTTTGATCGACACCTGCAGAAGCGGGACAGCTACCTGGAGCTGTTGAGGAACTTCTCCGATGATCTCAAGCAGCTTGCCAGGATTCCCATACTGCCTGGCCTCATGGCTCTCGCCGAGGCCGATTTCCATGGCTTTGACGAGCTGCTGGACAACGATGATGTGTTTGCCCAGCAGCAGCAGGAGCAGCAGCAGGGGGGTCTGAATGAGTCTTCGCAAGCTGACTCGCCCAACAAGAAGCTCAAGATGGGGGACGAGAAGGAGGGCGCAGGTGAGGAAGGGTCAGCTCGGGGCGTGCCCGAGGGCGATCAGCAGGCAGCGACCAGGGTTTCCCAGACCTCAACAACCTCCAGCTCGATGGCGCGTCGCCACAATCTGAATCTGCTGCAGTGGATCAGCTCCAAGGGCAACCACAGTGCGCTGCAGCTGATGTCGGACGAGTGCATCCAGGGCCTGGACATCTTCAGCGCGGACATATACGAGAAGCTCAAGGAGGAGGTGCAGCACATAATCAAGATGGCCAACCAGGGGGACGTTAAGGAGATAAAGGGACTCAGCGACCGCCTGTGCAAGCTGGAGGAGTTCAAGTTTAAGATAAAGAAGATGGTGCAGGAGCAGAAGGAGCAGGCCCTAGCCCTCCAGCAGAACGAGGCGCGTGCCCTGAATCTGCGCGACAATTCCGTGCTGCCCGACCTGTGCCTCTCGCATTGCACACAGCTGCAGGTGATGCTGGAGAACCATATCAAGATCCGCGACTACTGCCGCTGCATCGCCAACTCCAAGGACGAGCTGGGCAAGAACCTGCACACGCGTTTGCGGCGCATCGTGTGGATCGAAAATGGCATGAGCGAGTTTGACAACCGCCTGCTCTTCAACCACCGCTGTCTGAGGCGAGCCGAGCGACACATCAGCATCATAGAGCAGATCCACAGGGCCCCCTGCACCTATGTGGCGGCTGTGGCCGAGGTGGTGCGCCGGAAGATATTCTCCGACGAGTTCCGCCAGTGGGCCACGCGACTTTCGGTCGACTTTGACCGCATCCACAGCGACGAGCTTCGTCGCAGGCGGGAGTTCAACGCCAGCTTCGACGGCCACTTTTTGAACATCCTCTTTCCCGGCATGGGCGACATGCCGCCCGCCTTTGCGAACGAGCATCCCCTCAGCTTCGACACGCGTCTCCCGCCGCTCAGCAGATCGGACATTGAGCTGCTCTCCTCGCAGCTGCCCGAGCTGTCCGCCCAGCTCCAGCTGCCGAACATGAGGCCTGTGATAGAGTTCTTTGTGCATCGATCTGGTGTGACCAGGGAGCAGGAGCGGGAGCAGGAAGAGTCCGAGCAAGAGCCACCTCTGTTGGCTCCGCGACTGGTTGAGCTGCAAGGAGCTGGAGTCGGCACTTCGGCAACTTCCGACTGCGAAACGGACACAGAAACAGAGTTTGAAAAACTGACGACGGCCGTCAAGTCCGTGAGCACGACGACCAGCGGCATCGTTGGCGAGCAGATAGCCAGGAGCACGGCCACGGAGGAGCTGCTGATGCTTAGCGCGGGCACCCTCACCGAGGAGAATGGAGCCAGCGTCCAGAGGATGCGCGGGGCCATCGAGGACATGTCCAAGCTGGCTCTGGCCTGTTTGGCGGAGGCCCGCTCCAATCTGGGCACGTTCCGCAGTGACGCCGCTGGCTACCAGGACGAGCTGCAGTCAGAGCTGCAGCTGCTGCAGGACAAGTGGAACGTACTGCACATGCAGTGCGGGGAGCGCGAGCGGCAGACCCAGGAGCAGTTGGAGGAAATGCGCCTCAAGCTGGAGATGGCGGAGCGAGACAAGCTGGCAGCTGTAACCCAGGCCAGGGAGCAGCTGATCCACGAGCACAAAACGGAGCTGGAGTCGCTGCGCTGCCGCTTCAAGCTGATGACCTCCATGGAGCGCTCGCCCTCGGACAGCAGTCTCGAGAAGCTGGAGCGTCCAACGAGCAGTGCCAGCGTGGCAAGCGCCACCGCCACCGTGGACGTGGACCAGCTGCTGTGCCAACAGCGACAGGAGCTGTTGGCCCAGCGCGAGCGAGCCATCAGTGAGGCCGTGGAGTCGGAGCGCTCCCTGTGGCAGTCGCGCCTGCTCCCACTGAACTCAGAATCTGTGATGGCCAATGTGGGCATACTGAAGGATATGCTAGCGGAGAAGGAGCGGCAGCTGGATCAGCTGCGGGAGCAGATCCAGTTCCTCACCCAGGAGTCGTACCAGCTCAAGACGCGCCTGGAGATGATCACCAATGAGGACGGCAACAGCTGGCTCAAGGAGAAGATCGACTATCTGAGTCGGGACAAGTGTCGGCTCGAGGAGGAGCTCAACCAAGAGAAGAGCAAGCGCCTGGAAATGGAGACCAGTGTGGCAGCCATGAAGAGGTACGACACGAAGGACAACGAACGCATCCTGACCTCGATTTATTCAACTAAACTCGATGTTTTTTCTTGCATTTGCAGCTCCAGCTACGATCTGCCTTCGATCGGCGGTACAATGACCCGTTCCAAGTCGGCGGGCGGTTCAAGTCATCGGTCCATTGCCCTGGAGGGCTGCGGCAGGGGCGATCTCGTCTTTGTCGTGTGGAGCATGCGCCATGCCCAGTTCATGGTCGTACAGGACTCGCTCACACTCTATTTTGTCCATGGGGATAGTTTGGCCGGCCTCCAGCTGACGCCTCCAATCACACTTGCCCCGGCTTCGGGCGCTGCCGACGCCTCCGTGGCCGTAGCGGATTTGAATCAAATCCCTCTGCCGTACTATGCCATTGGACGGGTTGTGGACAAGGAGTACTGCCAGGCGCGAAAGGTAAGTGCCAAAAAATTGCACATGGCCCTCTCCCCGGATGACTGCTAATGAGTGTCCCTTCTTTGCAGGACGACAATCGGTACCGCGTCAGCAGGGGCTCCAAGTTCTATAGGATCAAGCTGGCGCCCATGCCCTCTCGAAATGCTTCGCGGCGGGAGCGTTTAGAATGTGAGTAACTGCAAGGCGAGATGCATAGAAAATATTCAAGAGTCTAAATATGCTATTGCTGGAACGGATATGCTGATGCCCGTATTCCCGTATGCCCGCCAACGTATCAGTGATCATGTCTCTTATCAGGCATGATACATTTCTTATTATCGGGCAGTGATAAAAGTATTTTGTTTTTGCGCTGCTAATTCTTTTTGACTTGTCAGCTATCGATATGGAACCCAGCAGCAATTTATCGTTATATATCTACGCTCCTCTTCTGGTCATCATGATGGATGCATTTGCGTATCATAACATGCGCGTTGTCACGAACTATCGTTAAAAATCCATCACTGATCGCTGAACGCTGAACAAGTTGTCCTGGTATGCATGCATTCTTGCATGCTCCACAGAGTACGAGTAGATGTTCAGACGAATTTCAATTCACAGACTCCTACTCCGGAGACTCCTAAAACGTTCAGAAAATGTTGATACTCTATTATTTCCCTGCAAGAAGTTTTTTTTCTTGAGCAATAAAACGAATGGATCCCCGAATGGACTTCCATTTTATTTTTAGAAAGATCGAAAAAAAATATAGACTTTTTTTGCAGCTCCAGTCTGCATATAATTGTAGATATTGTGCATTAAATTAAATACTACGAGGTACATATGTACTTATAATAAATTTTTGTTTTCTTCTTTAGCGAGCTCAGCCGCCGCAGCAACAGCGTCAGCATCGTTGGCAGCTATGACTCGAGATGTCATCGATGCGCCAGGCACGTCCGGAAGCAACGTCTATCCGGGCTTCAAACAGCGCACTGTGAGCATCACGAGCGTGAACGAGGAGGACGACGAGTCCGCTTCGTTGCTCAGCGAGCGCTGTCGCTACATTAGCGTGAGCGAGGAAGATGAATTGCTTGCTGCTGGCGGCACAGCAACAGCAATAGCAATAGTCCCAACGCCCCAAACGGTAGCGGCAGTAGCAGTAGCAGCAGCGGGAGCAGCAACTCAAGCACAGTCTGTGATAACAGAGCAGCCAACGGCATCGAGCAAACTTAAACTGGATCTACTGTTGGCCTCTGCTGATATAATAACACAACCCCTAACACAACAAACAGAGCAACAAGATGAGGCGAGTGCAGTGCAGGTGGCGCCTGTGGTGGATCGAAATCCGAATGAACCAGTAATCGGAGAATCCGAGGGCAATGCAGATGCGAAGGAGCCAGATACTATTACAATCTATGTGCCCCCAGTTCCGGAAATAACTGCGTTTGTTAGGGCGGAGGAATCTGTGTCAAGCACAGCAGTACCCACGCTACCAATGTCGATTGGTACGACGGCCATAAGCGAGGACTCCGACACCGAGTACCGCTCACTGGAGGGCAGGGAGGACGCTGAGGCAGATGCCGATTTTCCCATTTCCGAATAGGATACGACAATTGAGAGTTATATATAACTACGTATATATGTACATGCATATGTATATGGCGTGTGTATCTAGGCTAAATCTTTTACTCTATGTAGGAACCGAACCGAAAGAAACCCTAACAATTAAGCCACAGGGCCACAAAGTCCTCAACACAGACACCGACAGAAAAACACCAACAAAAACTCCAATAAAACAGCAACACAAAACAGTAACAGCCACGTGAAAAGTTATACATACATACTTAAATAATTTAAAGTTTACAAATTGCAGAACATATATATTCAAAGGAAAAAAATCAATAACTATAGCTAAACGGAAAGCAAATGTTCTAATGTAGTCTATGTCTGTCTACATAATGTACTATAATCTAATCTAATCGATGACTCCTGTAAATGAGTTCGAAGAGGGCCTTTCTCTCTCACTGTCTTCACAGTCCCCCCCATCCACACACAACACATCACACAGACACACAAGCTGCAATTTTCAAAATAAATTAATGTACGCTAAAAATTACTTTGTAATCGAAAATTGTACGCCAATCAAATAGTTTTTGGTTGAATGTGATTATATTTTGCTTATTTAAGTGCCAAGAAAGTTAATTTACAGTTTAATAGTTCTGTAGCGAGTAAAAAATTTATACGATGATAACATATTTTTTTATAGGATTTTGAAAGGACCAGAACCCACACAGAACACACACCCTCACATGGTATGTATTGGGCTCAGCCCGGAAAAACAAAACACAGTTTTATGCTCACCTTTCTCTCTTCCACGCCACCTTTCCCCAATAGTCTCCATTTTCTCTCCCCCTCTCTATATCTAGGGTATCTTGATTTTTCGACTTTTTGTAAATAATTAAGATCGGAAATCGACGAATAGTTATTTATGCCTTTATTCATAACCAAGAAACACTTGAAAATTACGACAAGAATGTAGGATATACACACATTAATTGGTTTTTGCGTGATAGGATGACGATTTTTTAGCGCGAATTGTAAATAAAACACACAAAAACTAATTTAAAACTATATAATACTTTAACAATTTAAATGAGGAAATGTGTAAGCGAAGGTGTAACAAAAGCGGGTTGCAAAAATGTCAAGCTTAAAAAAAAAACAAGTGTAAAAGCAAAAATCAAATAAAAAATGGTAAACATTTCAAAACTAAAACTGACATTTGTATATTTTATTTAACGAAATATTTACATTCATGTATGTATGGTTTGTCTTTTTATTGTCCACCGGATGAGAAATGGAGATTGTAGAGCAGTATGTACTTTATTGTACGAATATTCATATTCTAGAAAGAACAAACGAAGCGTTTTCAATGAGAATCAATTTTTTCGAACTATGCTAAGCTGTAAAACTTGGATTTGTTTTGACAAATAATTACGCAAATATAAATATACCTAGTCTAAAGAAAGGGCATATATCTGTTAGAGGATAACTTTAGCGATTCGGTATATGTATACTCGTCTGTACATACGTAGCCACTTCTTTCCGTAGGATAATGCAGATTTATATGAGAATACTAGAGGACAAGTTCGATGGACCGCGACTTAAGAAGAATTTACGGGCACAAACCACTAGGTACCAATATGCGCTTCCATCGCAACAAAATTATTGGTGGCTTATAGTCCATTCATATTTAGACAGACATGTCAAATTTCAGCCCAATACAGCGATTGGTTATTTTTTTGACCAATTTTTGTTGTTGAGAATTTTGAACTACTTTAAATATGGAAAAAAAAATAAAAAAATATTTTTTGAGAGGCAAAACGGCGAAGGAAAAAAAAAAATTAAATGTTGGATAAATATTATGGGGCTAATGCTTTTTCAGATTACCACGAAAATTCCAAAAATTTAATGGTGGCCGAAACTCCACTGCCGATGAAGTCCTACGTGGCAGGCCCTCCAATAAGGTTACACAGGAAAATGTCAAAAAAATAGCTAAAATGGTGTTGGCTGACCGGAAAATGAAAGTGTACGAGCTAGCAGATACTACAAGGATTAGTACTGAGCGCACACGCCAATTGTTGAGCGAGATTCTGCATATGAAAAAGCTATCCTTCCGCTGGGTGTTTCTTTTGCAGACTACAGACCAAAAACACGAGCCCGAGCGCACTCCGAAATAGTGTTAAGCCAGGCTCCCCATCCACCTTATTCGCCTTTTGCTCCATCGGATTATTATCTCTTCCCAAACATCAAAATATGGCTAATTAATACAAAATTTAGCTCACACGAGGAGATCATCGATACCGAGAAGGAGTATTTTGAAGACCTTTCGGAAAATTATTTTTTGGGAAATCTAGTCTACATTAAATAAAATAAAAATTATAAAAAAAAATTGGTTTTCCTTGCCAAGGAGGTTACTTTTCACCCCACCTAGTATTTGGCGGTCAGACATTTAATATTTGCTTTGAATAAACTATCAGGCGGTGACGATCCAAAATTATTTGATATCATAGAGAGATAAATACATATGTATATCTCAACCCAAGCGAATCTAAATGGGAGTACTATATGCCATATGATCTATCCCTCTGGACGGGTGTTAAACACTCCCTACATTTTTCTTGGGGTTCTATGCCCGCCCTTGTGGCTGGTTTTAGATTAAAATTCATGGGTGGGCCCATATAACTACACAAAATAATTTATTAATTGTATATTTTAAATCAAACATTAAACGTATAGATACAATATGAGAATGGGCTTAGTATAAAGTTTGTTAATTTTTTATACGAGTAGTCCACTTGTGCAGACGTCTTGCGAGTAAAATAGACTCCGCTGGGAATCGATGTGGAATTTTGCATAGAACGTAGAACTTTGGAAACTGGTGCCGTATAAAGACGAGCCGAATTGCGCTTTGTCATGACTTTGAATTAGCTAATAATTATATAAGCTGAATTATAAATTGCACATTCTCCAAAGCTAATTGGCGGAGGGATCTATCTCACATGAACATCTGGGCTGCGCTAGCGTGGTTAATAGCCTTTTAATTTTAATAATTGGTTAGGCCAGTACGAACCCATATGAAAGTATATGTACATATCCGATATGAGGAGCATTGCTGCATCAGTCTCCGTTATACAAAGGGGAGGGGGGCATAATTTCAGTACAATACATCCCATCTGGTTTAATATTTGATATCTATAGCTAATTAGGGTAATTTTTGAGTAGCCACATAAGATAATGCATATTGGTTATGGTTTTGAGAGCTCGATACCCTTGCAGAACCCGCGGGTACTATTGTTTTGAGAATGAATTTGTGTAAGTGAGCATCGAATGCACAACTTGTCAGGGATAACTGATCAGAGTATTCTAGATATTGGTGTACAATAGATGGGTATTTACGGATGGTTTGGATATACATATGTAATATATTTTGTAACTTGTAAATCCACATCATCGGAGCGCTTCTCAAAGTGAAAACTTGTTATCTTTCAACTGGATTAAATATTAGTTCCTTATGCATTTAATATGTATTTAAATCTGCAAGGGTATCTCTACTTCGAGGTGTGTCCCGAAGATGAATTTTACTGTTTCGGATTATCGCTTCTTTCTGGCATGTCTGGGCCACATCACGCGGAGTCTGTGCACGACTAGTGAATGGCTGTGGCTGTGCCTGTGGTTGCATCCAACGGTTGGCTGGCCACCGCCACCTGGCCACAACTTCATTAGGCTCATAAATAATTAAGCGTTAAATATGCTCCAGTTATTAATTGCCAACATCTCCTCCATCCATCCATACTCCCTGCTTGACTGCCTGCCTAGCAGGCACCGTCCCCCTGGCTGGCGTTGATCCAGCGCGATGATCCCCTTCCCTTACAAGATGCCACACTTCTTGAGAACTATTTTTCGCTTCCTCGCAGCACTAGACCCGCTGCCTTTTTTGGCCGGACGGAGCACAATGGTGCCGCTGCTGGACTTGGTGAAGGTCGGGCTAAAGGCGCTAATTGTGGGCGTGCTGTTATAGGGCGGATGGCTGGACGAGTGCTGCTGGCTGCCGATCTGGTCGTAGCTCTGGGACATCAGCTGATGGCATTTGGTGGCCAGGTAGCGGAACACGGATGCCACGTTGATGTCCTCCTTCACGGACGTGCGTATCAGACGGCAGTTGAGCACCTTGGCCAGCGTCTCCACCTCGTCGGCAGTGACCACCGCCTGCTCGATCAGATCAATCTTGTTTTGCACAATCACCGTGGGTATCTCGTTGCACTCGTTCTCCACCTTGCGCTTCCAGTCTTTGATGGCTTCAAACGAGGCACGATCCGTCGTGGAGAACACGAGCACTGACGCCTGTGCCCCCCGGTAATAGGCCTTCGTTATGCAGTCGAACTCCTCCTGCCCGGCTGTGTCCCACAACATTATGCGTACATCTTCTCCGTCTATCTCGATCTGCCTCTCCAGGAAGTCCACTCCGATTGTCTTCTTGTAGTCCTTGGTGAAAATGCCCTTACAGTAGCGCTGTATCATCGAGGATTTCCCAACTCCGCCGTTTCCAACAATTACCTGCGAATAGAGAATGCTTTTTAAATTCCTTTCCACAATTTGATTCTTTTAATAAGTTTGATTCAGCTGATGCTTGACATGAAATAATATGTTTCATCGGTAGTATGTTCTGCCTCGACTTGGGAAATTATGGGTCGTCTTCTCTTTGTGTTACATTTGAGGATTTAAAATCTGGCTTAACGATACTCCTTCGTATGACAAAACGTTAAAAAATATAAATAAAATCAAATAAAATGAAGAAGTCGAATTTACCACTATGTTCAGTAAATGACAACAATCGGACACACGGCTTTAAATATATAAGATCAAAATATGTACATATTTACACACAATACATGTATATCCTGACGTTACAAAATTTAAAAAATCTAAAAATTGGGCAAGACTGTCTGAATAAAATTTTTTGTAGTCAGTACTTATACTTGTTTTGTGAAGTATTAAGTGTTAATTTTCAAAGTTATTAAATTTAAAGCCCTTAAAAATTACTGGGGTAATAAAAGTGAAACATTGTTCCGTCATTCGAGATTGGGCCGATTTTTTGCGATTTAATAAACAAGAGCTACTTTGTGAAAGAACTTTTTTATCAAGAATCGTATAAGAGAAGCACATCAAAATTAATGAAATTATAGCTAAGCGTCAATAAATTTAGAAACTAAAATCGGTAGAAAATTAAATAGAATTTTGTGCTTTATTGAATCTTATTTGTTTGTTACTTCTTCCCTTTGGGGGTAATGAACATATGTCAAGTGATGGTGTTGGGTCTGTCTGTCATGTCATAGCTGACGATTACCAGATCATCAAGCAAATCTCTTGGGCTATTAGTGGAGTAACTAACCTTAGCCCAATGTACATACGTCCAAACATTCTTTTACAATCGACGCAAATAATTAGAAATGAATCAGCATTGAAGAGTTGTATAATTGGCAAAGCACGAGCACTGCCTCGGATCAGACCCAGAGGCAGCCTCTCGAGTCCAGACTTGATCTCTCAGGTGAGGTGCGGTGTGCTGCCACTGCTACTCATAACAGCCTTTCAGACTTACCACTTTGATGGCCAGCTCGATATCATCTTCGCGCATGTTGGTGTAGTTGTACTGCGACTGGGAGTGGGACTGCAGAACAGTCGCAGCAGCACCGCCGGTGGCCGTTTGGATGAGACGCATGCGGCGGCCGCTCTGTGCCGGCAGGGGGGCCGGCGCTCGACCAGGTGTTGCTCCGGTCGGACAGCCGACAATTAGAGGCTAGGGGAGCTATGCAGGCGGCGCACGCAACGGCAATCAGTATCAGTCGCCGAATTTCCAAATGGGCAGCTGCACTTTAGGTGCACTTTTAGAGCGGCCAGGTTTTCCGTGGCTTTTCACTTTTCCACGGCTTTGCGTAACGTCAGCGACAACCTCGGATTCACTTTCTACGCATTGATTTCACCAAATTCGAACTGTGGAGAGAAGAAAAACCAACTCTTCAGCGACAAGGAAAACCAAAGAAAATACAAAAGTTTTCTTTCATTTTCACATTAACCGGTTTTCAGCGCAGTTTTCTCGTTTCTCGTTTCTTTTTCTTTATAATTATTATTATATATATTTTTCTTTTTGGTCTCTTTCTTTCCTTCCCGGCCGGAGGCGGCCGAGTGTGCGAGTGCGTCTTCTAACCAGACGCAACCCGAGCACGCAGGGGCAGTCGGTTACGTTGTCCGATTTTCGTCCGACAACAGGTGCTTCGAGACACCTCACGCACTGGCCGTGTTGGTGCTGGTTGTGGTTGTGGTCGAGTGGGGCAGATCGCAGATCGGACGGGGAGCGGTCATGGAATTAGTATTCGCATTAGCGCGTGCTTATGAATTCTTTGAAAATTGTATTTTGTTGTTGGCTTATGCTGGATTTACATTTACAGTTTCTGGCCTCTGACTCTCGCCGGGGCTGTGGGCGGACGGACTGGAATATGTGGGGGTCTCAGCTGCTCAAAATAGAATTTGAGTGTTAATATATTCCAGTAAACAATGGAGACATTTATGTATATATACAATACATACATATGTAAAAAAAAAAGACTAAAATCTTGAATCTAGATAGGTACTTACATACATAGTATGTAGTTGAATGTGTTCATTCAAGAGAAATGATCATATCATATGTACATAGGTAAAATTGTAAATGTATCTTATCTGTTCTTTTTATAATCGATTTATTTAAACTTCGACACATTTGGTACATATACTTTTATATTATTGAGATCTATCATAGCATTTGAATTTCGAGGTCTTGGTTTCTGGTTCCATGTCTTATCCATTTCTCATTCATTAATCTTTCTCCTTGTGGATGGATATCTTCTTTATCAGTCTCATTCCATCTTACACTCGGTCTGGTCACACCGGATTGGCGAGCAGATGCTTCTTCACTCCACTCCCGAGACTACTTCAACCCACTGTGCAACCTTTGCCGCCTTTCGCCCGTTCTAATTATACTACTGTGACCATTCTTCTGCTCCATCTCTATTCATCTCGGAGGGTCAAGCCGTTGTCGTTTTTGTCCATTGTTACTCGTATGCTAATTAAGGCCAGCAGCAGAGCACCAGCGGCAGGGTTATGGATTCAGTTCAATAAACATGTGTGTGGGCCAGAAAAGAGCCGCGAAGCTGTCGAGGCTTGACACAAAATCCAAATGTGAATGTTCATGCATTATGTGTGTGTGTGTGTGTGTGTGTGTGTGTGTGTGTAGGTGGAAAATAGCTGCACACAGGCGCAAGGGGCTACTTCCCGCTCCACACATGGCACATACGATGCAGCACAAATTACAAATAATGCACATCAAGTGCACTCTCTTTCCTCCATCGGTCAGAGAATGTGTATGGGCAATTATTTTGAAATTTGCTCACAAGCTAATAGATAAAGTTGCCGTTTCTTGGCCAACAATGGTTGGCTGCTGTTCTTCTCTGTTTCTGTTTCTGTTTCTGTTCCTGCTCTGTTCTATGTGGAATGTGGACTCTAACTTGCCCATTTAAGTACCCAACAACACTGGTGCACACACATGACTGCACAACACACACACACCCATTCATATATCTACGTACACCGACACAAATGGCACTTGCTGCTGCAGTGCGCTGCAGTGGCAGCTAAAAGCGCAACGAATTTTCTCGCTCTTTGTTTGTGAGCACCACAAGTGTCTGTTGTCCTCTCTTTGTGTGTGTGAGTGTGTGTCTGTGTGTGAGAGGAAAATTATGCAAATGAATGCTGTTGTTGGTGTTGTTGTCTGCTGCGCTACTTAAATCAATTACGAGCGCAGATTCCTCATTATTTAAATTATGTTTAAACAGTCACTCGCGCACTAACGGTACCACTCTGCCGATCCAATCCGCGGCGACAACCGTCTTTTGCGTTTTTCTTTTCATATGTAACTCTTTAGTGCCTTTTCTCACTAAAACTAAAACTGGCGAGGGGACTGGGAGAGGGAGCTGCTCTCGGCTTTATTGTGTTTCTGTTTTCTGGGTGAGAAATTAACGAAAAGAAGCCGAGATATTACAAAAAGACAACACAAAACACACAGCACAGAGTATGCGCGAATGCGAAAACACGAATCTCACAGAGTAAAAACCATAAACACAACAACTCGTTTGGGGCCGCCGACTCTGGCTCTGGCTCTGGCTTGGCTTTGGCCCTGTCACCAGCTCTGGCTCTTCTACTACTATATGGCTATGACAACGCGTGCGAAGCGCATTAATTAAGCCTCGGAGCGAGCTGGAGCTAGCTGTAGCTGTGGATGGCTTTGGGGTTGAGTCTTAAAAGTGACCCGTAGTGAAAGTCTCTTCTTCTAGCACGCACACACAACACAACAAACACGATCAAAGAGCGGCCTAGGGCGCCACAGAGGGGCAGGGAGACGAGACTGCAGGTGCGATGAAAAATATCAAAGAAAACGTAAAGTGGACAGCGCACGCGCACCTGTTGCTTAGCGCGTTTCAGCTAAAATGAAAAGGTGGCTTGGCTTACAAGAGGCATCGAGCCAAGGCATGCCAAGGTAGGGCGATGAAGAAGAAGAAGAAAGAGTGGCTCAAACGACCAGGGCTGCCTAAAAGAAAAGAAAGGAGAGAAAAAATTATTATGATTTATTTGATATTGAAAATTAAATTTTTCTAATTCGAAAACGAATACTTACTATTTAAAAGCCTATGACCTTGATTATTATTATGTATTGTATAGAGCAAAAAACATTAACACTTTGTTTAATATTTAAATATTCAAGGGTTGGCGCGCAAACATCAACGATTTGCAGCACTGGTCAAAAGCGAATGTCAAAAGGAGAAGAAGCAAACAGCTGTTTTGCACAACGACGCGCATTTGTTCAATTTTCTGCAAACTATTTAACTATTTAACTGTCTATTCAAGTGATGTGATGTGATGACGTTAATACATAACATAATACAAATATATGCAAATAAATGAGATCAGACGAGCGAGAGAGTAGATTGTGCCGCGTATAAACAAATCTCATTGTCATGCAGGCGCCTGCGCAGTGCCTCGACAGGCGGCAGGACGAAGGACGCAGTGACAGAGAATTGTCAAATCCGTAGAGGCAAAGAGCAATCGAATCGAAGCCGTGCAAGGAAGTGGAACTTGTCTGCGGACTTCCCCGTGTTTATTTCTCACTGTTCATTGTTGCAAATTTCTCGCGCGTCTGTGCCTGTGTGGGTGCACACATAAACATACCAACACAGAGGCAAGAAATTAAACTATTGGTGTGCGTGCGTGTGTGTATGTGTGTGGAAACCATAGAAAAGTAAAAAGTTTATGCAAAAGTAAATTCCAGCATTGGCCTTTTTAGGGGTGAACTCTCTCCCAGTCCCTCTCCCCGCCTTCGACACTGGTCGGTCTGCTTATGCTCCAGGTGGCGACGGCTGCCCGTCTACCAGTCTGCCCATCTTCCCATTAGCCGTGGGGGTGGCTCGTTCTCTTCTCCTTCCTCCAAGTTGTCCTTTCACCCATTTAGTGCTGCTCTTCTGCCACTGCCCCCGACCCTGCCTCTGTCCCTGTTAGAGTGTGTGTGCATGAATATGGGAAAACAAAGACGGCGAATGGCAGAAAAAAAAATCAATACTGATAGTAAGTTTCGCTGCTCCCCTCGGATGTTTCCCAGGACATCAGCACATACCCCCACATATCTCGTATCGTATCGCCCGCAAACACAAGTGGCGCAGTCAGGTGGGTGGCACCCTGCACATCCCTCCTCCCCCTAGGACACTCCCCCCAGGTGACTCATTCAGGACACGAACTCCGAATTCCATCAGCAACTCCCATGTCCCGTCTCTCTCTGCCCCCCACCAAGTGTCCATTAAATATTGATTCCAACTCTGCAGCGCTCGCTAAAAAAACGATTATAAAGCCATTTGCATGTCAAACAAAATGCAAAATACATAACTAAATGGTCCGCACCTCAGTTTGGCTTACAATTTCAACAATTTATTGTGCGGCATCAGTGCTCAGAGGACGCTGAGTACGCAAAGTGCAATAAAAATACGTAACTCAGTTTGATTTCGAGGCAAAGGATACCAGAGGAGCGAAGCAAGATGAAAACGCGTCTCGTCTCGCTCACTTATCGCGGCAGTGCATCCGTCGATCCCCGCTACTCCGCCTCCATGCTGCCCTGGACAATCAACGACATACGATCCACGGAGAGTTACACAAAGGTGAGTCCGATTGAAAGAAGGGGGAACTGCGGGAGTACTACGCGAATTGTTATCAATATTATTACGGGTTTACGGGGTGGTGGGAGGTACACAGTGTTTTAGTGGAGTAATTGAATCCATTAATTATACATTCTCTAAATAAACCTCTAACTACGATGGATTGGAAAGCAGCAGGTAATTTATTTATCGAATCCATAATTATTATTTCTGATATCCGAGATTATACTGGACCGAAGTCCCCTTCTATCTAATGCCTTTTTTCCACTGAATGTTAGTACGATTGGGTAAATCGGTTTCCCCATAGTATAATTTCCAAGCACTAAAATAAACTACGAGTATTTTCAAAATACTTTGGTAAACGGCTGGTCTTTAAATCTCGAAATTCTTTCCGGAATTCTTGCTGCGGAGCGTATCTTTTTAGCACATTCTTCTAAACTCCTAAACACCTGTCTCAAATATTACAGTCGTATGCTATTAATATTATTATTTGCATTATTGCCAGAAATGATGAATTATCCAGTAATCATGATGAATAGTTATTCAGTTCCAGTCATTACGTATTCTGCCAACTAAAGAAGGAGCTCATATTCTACAGAATATTTCACCTGCCTTTCCAAAGGTGTTTCCTGTTAATCCAATCCAATGCCCATCGTACTACATATTTATCCTACTTGTATATATCGTTCTCTCTGGTTCTCCTATCACTTTTATGCCTTTGGCGAAAACAATTAAAAGCAATTTGCAATTATTATGGCTCAGTAAATCAATTATGGGCCCATGGGTCGGGTGACAGAGACAGAGAGAGAGGCAGTCCGAAAAGCAAATGAAATTTAATTAATAATTTTGCGCTCCATAAAGAATGATTATTCCGATTGGTGACCCATTAGCCGCCACTCACTGGGGGGCGGCCAATGGGGGTATCCCTAAAAATAGAACCAAGATAAACGATGACTGAAGAAACGGACGATTGTGACGTCCCAAAACTGATTCGGGGGTGACATGCACACACACAAACAAACACACCTGTGCCAGTTGTGACCTGCTGGGACCAGAAGAGATTACGCATACGCCGAAGGGTGGCACGTGGGGCAACAAGTTGGCTCGCCCTCACCCTCCGCCCCACTCGGCCACTCACTCACCACAACCCATTGGTACCCTTTGGGTAATATTATTAGACGGCTCAAATTAATTTTAGCTAAGTCCGCAATTAGCCAGCCATCAACTGGGCGTGTGAGTGAGTGCTATCCCCGAGGGTTATCCACGACCAAAGACGAGTATTTCTCCACATACAAATGTACATATGTGTACTACATAAATATGCAATTCAAGAGACAAGTAGAAAGCGTTCAGTCTTTATCTGAACTATAGGATACCTACTACTTTGATTCGATAGGTACCGCTCAAGGTTTGAGGTTTAAATTGGAGCGTGCATCTGCGTGGTTTCACTCGTAACACTCACAGTCCTATAGAATGATCTCGAATTGAGTTGAAGCGATCAACTTACCTAGGTTTTTGATTAACAAATAGTAAGAAAATAGTCGTTCCATCCTCTTTTGATCGTTTTTATAATATACGTTCATATATATACACATACATATATACATTACATTTTATTACGCATACAATAATCACTAGAGTCATATATAGATAATAGAATGAGATCATGGGGTAGCATCGTTGCCTAAGAAACAAATCCTAAAATAGCAATATTTGTAATTGTGAATTTCAAATATGCTTATGAAACGCACTGTAATCCCGCTCTAATTCGAGCCTCAGACATGAGAAAGCTTTGCAAAGAGTCTGCCGTGAATACTCGCCTTTCCTTTGTCCATTTTGGCTTCATTCAGGGGGATGACAGGTGGCTGCGGGTGGCTGGGGCCCGAAGCACCGCTCCGCATTAAAATGAATCCTTTTTACGTGCCTGTGGCCATGCCCCGGAGGATGCTGGAGGGATTGCACCTGCCGTTGGCAATTGTTGTTGATGCTTATTGAATGTACCCGGAGAGGGCCTGGGGATTGGTCGTTGGCTTTAGGAACCTTCAGCACAAGCACTTTTCCACAAAGCCCCATCCCGAAGCTTACCAAACAGCCAGGGTGTCATTTATATACTTGGTTCAGCTTAAGTTGGCCAGAACCCTGCGGGGAATAGGAATACAATACACTTTCTTCAGTTGTGCTAAAACGTTTTTACGAGTATTACTCGTACTGCAATATGTTATGATTATAGGGGAATACGAGGGCCCGAAAGGATCCTAAACCAATCTCTCCCTTATCCGGAGCATTTACAGACTCTGCCCAAATATTTATTGAATGGAAATGTTTGGATGGCTTGGGTAATAATTATTTGGGAATTGCAAATACATAAATATGCACAAAATGGTTTGAATAGCCCAACATTCTACAAATAAAAATAAATGTATGTTTAAAAAAACTAGTACATAGATCAATTCTAGAGTGATTACCATAAATGGTTTTAGAGAGCTTCCCAATAAATTTGTTTGTTAATTTTATGCTCAACAAAACGTTAAAAATTTTAAAAATAAAAATTCTGTTGACATCTTCATAGTCTCTGCTACAAGTATCTGAAGCACTATTATTTATCGATCGGCAAAAATCATGTTATGCACTTGTTATGTTTTCTGAGGTAATTGCTGCACATCCCCATTTAGATTTAGTAAACCAATCAACAACTGTTGCTTTTCCACTGATTGGATTTAAGAATATATTTCAAAAAAATGTGTTCAGTAAAAATTAAACTGTGTTTTTCCATGGTTTCTAAAATTGCTATACTCGTAGGAGCAACTCAGAAACAAATATTGCACACATAAATAATAGTCTAAATGAAATCCATCACTTCTGTAAGTCTTACAAAAGGTGATTTGGAACCAGTTCTACTTGGGGAACTAATCGGGGACTCATTGCACAAAGTGATTTATGGTACTATCTATCGGAAATGGTTATCTACCATACGAAATATTCAGTTTCTGAATAGTTCAATAAATAACTTGACTTTAAGGCCAGAAGAGCATAGACCCTACCGAGGTGCAATGGTGTGGAAACAGCGGAAAGAAGGAAACATCTTTATAAATATCATTTATAGAGCCTGCACTTCTGAAATGGTTCTCGGCTATTCTGTAACTATAATTACGAGTACTCTCTGGGTTTTTGCAGCCTGGGTACATAATTTTCACAAACCATTAGCTCTGGCTAGAGTGACACTTAATCCGCGCTCTCGTAATCCACTTGTCACTTGGCACTTGGTGGGCCATGAAGCTGACACTTTTCAGAGACCGGGCACCATAATTCGCTTCGTATTTTCTTGTTTAAATATTTACTCAAGCCTGCACGCAATTGTTTAATAAAGTTGTTAGTATTCCCTCTCACTCTCTCTCTCTCTCTCTTTTGATGGTTCTCTCTCTCTCTGCTGCATGTAAATTGACACTAAATAAACACGCACCCAGAGTGAAAGAGACATCATGAGAGAATGTGAGAAAATCTCTCTCGTGTGGACCAGTGGGACAGTGAGGAGAGAGTGGGACTGCATAAATAAAATTGTCCTCTTGCCGAAGCTCCTCTTTCTCCTCTTCTTCCTCTTCCTCTGTGTGGCTGCTTATTGCTTTATTATGTTAAATAGCGCATGAAAATTATAACAAGAGCTGGATTCTTTGACGGGCGGGGCACCCACCCACCGCACCAAAAGCTCCCGGCAACTGTGTCACAGATGAGGTGCCTCCATGGTGCAAGTTTTCTGTCAGCTTCGCTCCGATGACGTGACGCCTGAATGGACAAAGGCAACAACATTCGCAGAAAGTTGCTAAAGTATGAAAAGTGTAGTATGTAGTATGAAAAGTGTGTGCATATATTTTTCGGGGTATCGTATTCGTATCGGTTGGCAATTAGTGTGAAAAGATTGATGGATCCCCGAGTGGTGTGGTCTCGGGATACAATGCCTTAAGAGAATTCTATTCCTTTCCAACATTTTTGAGAAATCATTTAATTTACTGAGAGATCTGTTTTAAGTATTGTATGAGGGCTTTAAGTATAATATTAATATTTGGATGATTGACTGTGGGCGATGAAGCACCATGAATTTCCACTACGGCAAACTGTTAAAACGAGTTAAGTAGTGTACACTGTGCATCATTCGTGAGTGTCGTCCAAAGCGGAGTGGAAACTTTGTTGTTATAAAAAAGTATAATTTTGAAAATCTAAGTTTTCTATTGAATTGTAATCAGGTAGCCCTACAGTCACCGAATTACAACAACCGAAGGTATAGATTTAAAGATATAAGCCAAAACCATCAGAAGTATTGTATTGTATTAAATTTTCAGGGGTATCTAACGTACGTTACTGGCGTTACGTTACCAAATCTTCAAACGTCGAGACGCGTGGTTTCCACTTTTAGGTAATAATTTTTTATAATCTAAAATATCCGAATGAATTAATTTGGAACAACGTAACTGATACCTGATATCCCTTCGATACTCTTCGATGTATATTTGACCATCTCTGAAGAGGGACCTCTCTCAGGTGGTGGTGCCTTTCAGGTGGCAGGAGAAAAAGTCCCAAATACGAGTATTTTCTCACATTTTCGGCGCGTGCTTCCATTCATTGACGTCACAGCGCGAGGAAGTGACAGGAAGCACAGGCGAAGAGTGGAAAAGTGGTCTGGTTGCGGAGAGTGGTGGGGGCAAAGAAAATCAATACGCCGCTTGTTTCAGTTTCATTTTCTTATTTTGCTTTGGCTTTTACTTTGATGCCACTTTTGGTGCTTTTGTGGTCGCCTGTCGCCTTCCGCCTGCTCCGGAGGGGAAGTCACTCAAGTCCCGTTGGTAATCCGCTTTTGACCGAGTCACTTGAGTCCCGTCCCCTCCTGTCCCCTCACGTTCACCGCCTTCTGCCTCCTTGGTGGTACGAGTATCTGCAGTGGCATAAATGGTTTCGCACTTCATCATCGTCAGGCTGCTACACTGCTGCTGCTGCTGCTGCTGCTGCTCGAGTGTTGTTCTGGCTTACGTGGCGTATGCGCTATACTCCCAACTACTCCTCTGTCGCCCACCCACTCCTTTCCGGCTGGCTGAAATTTTGTATTTGACGGGACTCTGTTTTGTGGTCTGCTGATTTTCGGATCCGTGTTTGTCGCTCTCTTGACATCGCTGCCACTCTGCCTGCATACGAGTTGCGTACCCAGATGCAGATGAAAATGGGAGACATGTGGGGCATCCTTCCGCTGACACATACATTTGCTCAGTTTTCCCATCATCTCCGGTTTGGAGCCCAAGAGAAATCCCGCCACGAACTGCAACTCAATTTTATTTATGCCAACAACAAAACGAACTCCTCCATCTGGAGGAGGTGGAGACTATAGACTATAGCGGCTTGTCAACAGCCTCAACATCATCCTTGGACGGTGCCCGTAGATGGACACTCGCATCCGTCAGGCTGGTGTTGGTGGTGCCGACGGATAGAATGCTCTCCGAATCTTTAAACTCCGTGCTCCCCAAGGACGGAGACCCGATCTGTTGCGCAGACTTCGCCGACTTCTTATGTGGGTGCTCATCTGGAGCCTTCTGGCGCTGATCCTCTTCCCCGAGGTTGAGTTCCAACTGCCGACGGCGCAGCGGGGACATGACCCCCAGCTTAGCCTGCTCCAGCTGTCGTCCGTTTTTGGCCTCGCTGAAGGGCATCAACTTGCCGAAGCGGATGTGCTGCAAGATCTCGAACTGGGTCAGCACCTCGTCGAGGTACATGAAGAGCAGGCCGCGGTGGATCTTGGACCAGGAGGAGAGGGCGGCCAGGCTCCACAGCTGGCTGGAGTGCATGGCGAAGGGGCCCATCTTGGTGTCCAACACGTGGCTGACGCAGCCGATCAGCAGGTAATCCGACTTGTAGCGGGAAATCACGTCCGCGTCGAGCATTTGGAGCGGCGGGAAGGGAGCCGCGTAGCTCAGCTGGGCCACGCCCCAGAGGAACGGAACGAACTGGAAGGTGTCCAGGGAGTAGGCCCCGTTGTTGCCCGCCGACTCCATGGTGTAAGTCACCTGCAGACGCCGCACAAACTTTAGGTATCGGGCGAAGATCACCAGGGCCGAGGCGGCTATGTCCTCCTCCTGCAGGATCTGCGCTCGGAAGAGAGAGCACTGGAAGAAGAGGAAGCTCAGCTCGTGGCCGGTGCCGTAGTCGATCCTGGTGGCGTTGCCAAACGAGCCGGACAGGTACTGGCCCAGCTCGTTCACGTAGTGGCACTTGCTGGCGGGCACCGCCTTCTCCACCATCGGGTAGATGCTCCGAAGCATGCTGCGCGACCAGCGGCGGTAGGCCTTGTTCCCCTGCTCGATGGAGCTGACAAACGACGCCGCTTTGTCAACCGCGAGCGGCGGATTGGCGTGGACCATGACCTCCAGCTGGTCGAAGATGCCCGCCAGCCGCGTTATGGCCGGGCTGACCGGGTAGCTGTCGTTCAGTCGCAGGCCCTGAATAGTCGTGCTCACGGTGTTGATGTACGCAATCAGCTCGTGGTATGCCTCCGAGACCTGCCACAGGTCCACGTCCTGCTGCTTCACTATCCGTGCCTCCGGCCCCAGGCTGGATTGGCTGGAGAACTCGGCCATCAGCCTGCTCTTGGCGTCCATCTGCGACATGCCGCATGTTTCCCCCATAATTTGAGATTTTATTTGTAATATTTGTGGATCGGATCCCCAAAGTATTGTTGGCGGTGTGTCAGTGTTCAGGCTGGACCTGAATGTGTTTGGAAATGCTCAATGATCGATTTCAGCTGTCAATACGAGACATCTACCGGATAAAACAAAACAAAGCCAACTCCTTTAGTTCTGTCTGTCTTTATTCAGAGTATGTCTCTCCCTATATCACTCCATACGAGTATATCTGTGGAAACATAAATGGTTGGGATAACAAAAAGAGATCGATTTACTGGTTGAGGCTGGGAACAGCCTCTTGTAGTGCCTCTCTCGTTGATTAGTAATTAGGTTTTATTTAGCTCTCGATCAGCTGTAGTAAATTGCCGAATATGATACGCTTGGGGAATAGTTCAATGATAGATAAGTGCTGCATATATATACAATTTGTACTTGTGCTTTTTGCATGCTTTAACAGAGGCAGCATTAAGGTAGCATACTTTTATGGGTACAAATTAATCCTGCTGATAGTAAACTAGTATGTACATAAGTATGAAAAAACATAGTAATAAGAACAATACAAATCGTTGGTTCACGCCTGCTCTTAGTGACTGTCTAAGGTAGGGGATACCATTTTATTAATCAAATAAACTATATATTTATATCAATATATATGTATATGTATCATTAGCATATGGTAGAATATTTTTTTCAATAAAGTATACCCATATGTAGTAAATCGCCATTAATTTCCCACACTCAATAGAGGACTAATGTGGAGTTTTTATTTATTATAATTTTTAATTGATAATATGTATTTAAAAAATAAAGTATAGATGCACAACGTAGACAGGCTTGTTGCTCTCACTTGGTGAGAACATAAACTTGGTGGAACGTGAATTGACGGTCTGCCATTTGCCGTACGCCGTACAGTGTGCGGCGTACACCTTTCAGATCGCTTTTTTCGTCTTTCCTAACATTACGGCTCGTCGTTGTCTAGCGATCATCGTTGCTTCTCGCTAATTGGATTTGTGTACTCAGACAACATAGGGGGATACACCATCCGCCCACATTAATACTCATTTAATATTCGATTTCAATAGGATCACCAATGAAAGTGTAGTTGAAAGTTGTAATGTGTTGAATGGTGTTGCAAGATAAGATACATACATATTCGTACTCGTAAATATAACCATACATACATATGTTTGTATGTACATATGTACCATTATTATAGGGCATATACTAGTAAATAATTGGCCTTCCGTAGAATGTATTTATGGAAAGGAGTGACCAGGTCTCTAGACTTGACCCTTTAGCAGTAGTATTTCAGGCGTGCAACTCGTTAATAAGACGACAGCAGCAGCAGCAAAGCAAATGCAGTAAATGCAAATTATATGGCTACAGTGCGCCAGCAACAACGAATAATGTAAAGAGCAATTGTGGACAATTTATTGAGCAACAACCACACCGACAGGCAGCTTCTGCTACCGCATGGAAAAGCAGGGAAAAAACGGTTAAAATTAATAAATCACTGGGCGAAAGCACGCGACGCTTGGCGCTGGCAGCGAAGTCAACGGCAACGGCAGCGGCAGTCGTTCTAATGAAAGCAACAGCAAAGGGAAAAGCAACAACTGCAGCAGTAATTTCTATCCACTGCTGTTTCTGACATGGCGTCTAACTGCACGTCAGTGCGAAACAGGAGTGCGTGAGGGCTAGACAGCAATAGCAACGAAGCTACGAGAGAGCGAGGTGCAAACTAGGGATGAACTCGTGTGCTCCAGGTACTCCAATATCGTTCGTGTGCCTAAAGAGCTTAAAAATAGGCGGATACAGATTGCGTGATCGTGAGAGTTAGACACGGGATATTGTTTCCATTACTCTGGCAATAAAAACGATCCGATTGAATATAAGATTCTGCACTCTTGTTGATAAGCGCATTCTTTATGATTCGGATCTTTTTAGTACACCCTGCCAGTCTACGGCGATTCAATAATACACTATCAATTATATAATGTCTCACAGGTATACCTTTACGCTTTTTGTACAGGGTACAAAAATGGCTAAAATGGCTCCTTTGATGGTCCGTGACTGAAAGCTCCGATCCGTGTCCATCTCTAGTGTGAATTGTATACCTAAATCTACATACACATGTAATTACATATAGAAACGTGACATGGCTTTCATTCAATTAGGCATGGTGAGTGGGAAAGAGGCAGAGGAGGGTGGTGCAAGGGAGGGATTTTAAAGAGGCCAAGCCGTCAATTGTTCTAGGGGGAAAGAACAACAGTATTACGTATACGCAGCGTGCGTCACAATTTCCATTATATTGTTTATACATTTCTATTTCGATGCGGTTATTGTCAAGCAATGGAATAATGAAAGGAAATCACTGCAACTGTGAATGCAAGAGACAGAATCCCCTTTTTCTCTGGCTTTATTTGTGTACAGTCGGGTAGAAAGGCTATGGAAAGAGAAACATTAAAGATAAATTGTAAGCACAGATAGTACTAGATGAACGAAACCCAATTTCTATATGTGCTGGAATCAAAATGGATCAAAGTAAAAGATAAATCAATTAAATTCTATTTTTATTCGCCATTCGCCATTCACCTGGGGTCTGCTCTGTCTATCAGGCACTCGATTCCCCTTATCATCCACAGCGACAGAGCGACTGGGTTTGCTGTGAGGGACAGCAGGGATCGCTCCTTCGTCAAGTGTCGAAGGAAATTAATTAAAATAAATTGTCATGGTCGGGGCTCCCTCTTAAGTGCTGCCGTATGTGTGTCAGACATATTCCAAATTTTAATTAAATGCCAAACGGTGAAACGAATCTGGGGACTGCGCCCAAGCCAAGACTGCGTCGGCACTAATGATTACCAGGTGGCCGGGAAGCAGCCAGTCATTAGACGTGCTCCCGCAGCAGCACTCTTTAAGGCTACGTATAATTCGCCGAGTGTTGATACCCTAAGAAGAAGGATATGCCAGCGTTGAGTGGAGTGTGGAATACACAGCACTCAAAGTATCTTTTAGTTGTTGCCTTACTCCAAACACAACCCATTTCTGGTGTGGAAGGGCATCTCTGTTTCGTATTGCCATAAGCCATGACACGTTCTTTATTTTCCTCTTTTCTCTTTCCTTCTGCTTGAGCTAAAAGTTTCCCGTTCTGTTTTTCTTAGTATTTAGTTTTGCCAGTTGACGACTCCAGCCCGTGGATCCAATGGATCCGCCCCAGCACACACCCCAACACTTTACTTTACTTTACTTTGATTTTAATTTAATTTGCGCAGAAAAAGTTTTCATTTTGTCAGAGCTTTTCCAGTGGCATGCCACGGAAGGGAATTTTCGCTTCGATTTTTAATTACTGAAATGTGAGATTTTATTCAAAGACGTTCAAAGATTAATGCTCTTTAGATTGTATATGGATGTTTTTTTCTTCTTTTAAGCACACCGTGAACTAAATTGGCATAACAATACGTTTTATTTTTACATTTCCCTGCATTTAAAACCTTTGAGAGCGGAAAACTGAAGGAAAATCCCCTGCCTTCCAGCCACTGGTGCCGCTGCGTGTTCGAGTATACAGAACATAGTACAATACTCGTATAAAGATCCCCCCAATGGGGCTAAAACATAACGACCCTCTTTTCTGCCGCGTGCAGTTGGCAACGCCGCCACAACAACGACACACCCTGCCCTGCCCCTACCCTAAGCACACAACCCAATTTCCTCGAACAGACCCACACTCACCCTCACCCTCACCCTTACCTCATAGTTGGCTGACACTCCCTGGCTACCAGGCTTTCTGGTATTCGTAGTTGTTAGCATAAAAAGGGGCCAAGAACAAAACGGAAAAAATGAAACGAAAATACAACCAGGACAGAAGAGGAAGCCAAAGCAAATGATGAGGTGGAGGCGGATGCGGAGGACACTGCCGGAAATGGAGCAGCCGCCATGTTGCCATGTTGCCACGTTGCCACGCTGCTACGCTGCCATGTTGGCAGGCATGTCACATTGTCATTGCTGCCTCTTTTCTCTTTTCTACTTGTGCAGGCAAGTATGTAAACTGATTAAAAAGAATTTAATACTGTTAATCTGCTTCGCCTAGTGGAAACGGCATAGCATGGTTAATTCTATTCTTTTGCTTTCTATTCCACAAAAAAAACGGAAAAGAACGGGTTTAATTGGGACTCCTGTAACGATGGAATTACATTTCGAATTAAACATTACCTTCCACTCGAAACGGAACTCCTTCACAAGCACTTACTAATTTAATGAACATCATTCGACGAAGAATAATAAATAAATATAACATTTAATGTTTTGTGATCTGCTGTATCTGTTTAGGATTTTTACGTGCAATGGCTGACACCTTCAAGTTTCCCGTGCGACTTGAAAATATATAAGTTAGAATAATTAGATACTTTTAATGTTTTGGCTCCCAATTAATCATCTGAATTTCTTGGTTTTCTTGCAGCTCTCGATGGGCATTGAGAATGGCATACTCGAGTCGTACAACTCGGACTTTGAGCTGCAGTTCAGCCATCCCCTGAAGCACATCGTGGGCATGTGCCGCATCGTACACAAGCCACAGGCCAAGAGCATCGGCAATGGATTTCTGCAGCTGAAATCTAGTGCTGGCCAGGCAGCAGGCAGTGGCTCCTCCTGCGCCGCCACCTCCTCGATGGCTGGTGGCAGCAGCAGCAGCAGCAGCTCGCTGGCCGCAAACGGACTGCGGCACACCCTAACCGCATCCACATCCTACGGTTCGCTCTCGTCCAGCGCGGCATCCGCTTATCAGCAGCAGCAGCAGCAGGCGGCGGCGGCTGCGGCAGCGGCTGCTGACGGGAGTGGAGCGGTGGAGCAGCCGCAGAATTTCATGGAATTTCAAGGACCCATCACCGGGCTGGTCTACTTGCTGAAGGATCCTAAGGATCCGCTGCTGCACATTTATCTGTTTGAGTGCGAAACCATCGAGGAGGTAAGTTCAGGGCTCACTCAAAGCCCGAGGAAAGCCAGATGAAAACCGGATGACGGATGGGAAAAGTTGTCGACAGCCTGGGCCGACATTGTGTCAGTTGTATGTCTGTTGTAGGAACCATGTGTGGACAGTTTGTGGCCTTTTGAAATGCTCTCAAA